TTGGGAAAGGATAAAAAGGGGATTTGGGTGTGAATAGTTATAGTAATCGTAATTTAAGGTGATTTATTTCATTTTTTATGACTAGTAATCAGTTTCTAATTGGTACTAAACCATTTCACACAACACCTTTTATGGTCAATTCTTAGCGTTGGAGAATCACACAATGATCGTCAAAAGGAGATTGAACTGTTGTGAGTGTTTCCGACATCCTAGAGCATAAACTGTCGTGATGAAGCTACCATTTGTTTTTTTTTAAGAGTTAATAATGGATGTGATTAACTCTTAAACACAACCAAACACTATGAATTTTGGGCTTAGCCAAGATCAGAGTCGAGTGCTACACTCCTTGTGTCACATCCTTGTCTGGGCCCCCACCACATCTCGGGCTCGACTCCACCATAGCACGCCTTGATTTCGGACGGGGCAAGGTGAGCGTATGGTGCGGGAGGTGAACATCACGTAAAAGATTGTGCCCTAACCACGGGTAGGAGCACTAACACCGGGGTGCAGGTTTATGAGCTCTCAACACATCTCACATAATCATCAATTCACATAAACAATCTACAACTCACCTAGTACTTACCTGAGCGTCCACCACGTCAAATTAAAATATGCACATATCATACAAATTCATAGTCTAAGCACAAATCAATAGGCATGGCATATTTGTGAATTCTGTTATTCTGAGCATGGTTGTGGTATAGATATATATATATATATATATATATTCTATTTTCTAGGAAATTATACAGGTTTTACAGCGAGGGGTTACTATCTTTGGTAATTGAAATGGTTTTGAAAAGCTTTATTTTTGCCCACTCACACTTTCTGTTTTGCGCCCCTCCAGGTTCTAATTAGGAGTGCTTTGTGGTGGCTTGCGAGGAATCCATGTTGGCTCTGACAGATTATCACCATTGTATGGTCACCTTTGGATGTTGTATAATTAGTATTTGTCTTGCTGGACTGCATTTAGGCTACTTATGCTCTGGTTGTGAATTCACACTTATTTCGTCTTGCACCTTAACTTATCTAGTGCTCTAGTTAGTTTGGTTTTTAATTATTCGCATTTCTTATATTAATATTGCTTCTGCATTGTACACATGGCTATGTCACCTTCACGTGACGGCCAGCACGCCTTGATTTCAGTTGGGGTGTGTCACCTCGCCTTTTCACGCAAGTTCAAATCTCTCTCATTGTAATTTAAATAATTTTAATATAGAGTAATCGTTTATTGAAAAGAATACTCTCTCTACATAAATAGGGTTTTGTAGATGAAAATTTATTTTTTTGTTATTAAATAAATTAATTCTAATTAACTTATTATTCATAAATTTTATGCTAAGCAAAATTTATTTTCTCAAACTAGGGATGAGCCAAATCAAATTTTATGCATCTAAAATAATTGTGGCATTTCTGTGACCTCAATCGTTGACTGACACATAATTAAAAATTTAACTTTTCTCAATTTTATTATTAAAAACTTAATATATATCGGTTAATAATTAGAAGCACAAAAAACTCACATCTATTTTAAATGGAGAAGATTTGATTGCGGAAGAGGTCCCAGAGGATGTCTGACGTATTTAATTTGAGATCCACCAATCCCTATTAATTTAAATCAACTTGCAAATTGCGGCCAGATTTGCCAAAAAGGCAGCAAAAAAAGCATATTCCGGATAAAGATGCACCCTCAATGCATCATGCCAAGCCACATGCATTTTACTTGCTTCTAACGCAAGATCCACATAAAGGTTTAAATCAACCCCAAATCAAAGCCAAAGTATATAAGCACAAAGTCCAGCTAATTTCAGCCTTAAACTTTTGCTTGGCTATTGAAAAAAGGGTCGTTGATATTCACCAAAACTAATGTCTATCTTAATTACGAATAATGTTATTTGTACCACATTTACTGTCTATCTTATCAGTTTTATAACAAAGGTGGAACTCATCTATGCATGTGAGACTCACATAGATTTGAGAGGTTATTGACAAGGTAATTAGTAAGGGGACGAATCCGTGGCACTATTTTTTTTACACAACTTTTGACACATTTTTATGCGGCCCACTCCGTAATGTATTTTAACAATTCGCACTGTCTATCTTTTAGGTCTTCCCCCCAAGATCATATGTTTACCGAAAATCACACAAATCTGAAACTATATGATTGTTGGATTAAGGGTTTAGGGTTTCTTTGCAGAATCGTATTCGTCCATTTTCTTCACTACAAATGAATGTCTTAGTGATTTTGAATTTGTCTAATTTTTTGCAAATATGGTCTATAAATGATGTTCTAAAATGTAGACGGTACTGATCATTAAAATACATCACAGAGTGGGTCCTACAAAAAATGTGTCAAAAATTGTATAAAAAAGTGGTGCCACGAATCCGCCTCCAATTAGTCAATATGGTTCAAATAATATCTCTCTTCTAATACTATTACGTACAACTATGAGAAATTCAACCACAAAGCAAAGTTCAAACTTTAACAAAATACAAGCAAGTTTTATATAGATTTTACATTGAATACGTCATGACAAGAAATTTGTAACTCAAACAGTTATGAGCGTTTATATATGCGCCCAAATCATACAATTAAGAAACTCGGTCATCTTGTGCAAAAACTAAGGCTTACTTACGTTGGTCAACATGAGCATGTTCTAAATTTGCCGTCTTCACACAAATGACCTAAAAGATTCGTTGACCTTTTGGTGTTAGATCCCTTTGACAAAATAGCAAGTCATGCATGCATATGTTGGTTATGCTCCATTTCTAAGTAATTGGCCTTGTGGCCTGTGGCCTGTGGCCGGCCTCAGGTTCGAACCTTTAACCTTTTAGTGTTATTAAACCAAAGGTGGCGTGGATTAAGTTATCGCAGACGAGCGTTTACACCTAAGTCGACAGACCCCTATCTTTGTTGGTGCGCATTCTCCAACAAAGCGGTATGAATGTGTGAATGTGATGTGAAGTCTCCAATTCAAGTAACAATTTGGCTTTTTTGGTGTCTTTTCAAAAAGATATGGCTTGGATCAAATGGCAAGTCATCAGCATTTGCAACGGAGTTATAACGAAAGCGGTTAATTAAGAAGATTTATTTATACACTTGAAGTCATATGTTCGATTACCCTTTCAATAACGTTAGTAATGAAACCTTTTAGGGTGTGTCATTTTTACTTCATGTAACCTTTCAGTGGAATGCTAGTTAAATTAGTAAAGGACAAGTCAGGCCAACACGTGTTTTCTGGAAGAAAGCATAAATCACATGTGAATTTGATCTTATTTTTATGGGTCAAGATCAATAAAAATGATTTGAAAACTTTGAGTTTTAATGATAAAGACAAAATAAAGGGTAAAGTGAATAGTATCATGATTGACTTTTTAGTGTAAAATTGTGGTTTTTCGTTAAAATGAACAGTACCGAGAGCTTTTCGTTAAAGTTCCCTAAGATCTTTAGACTTTACTTCATATCGTCACAAACTTTGTTGAGTATATGAAAATTATAGGTAGGACAATTAAGCTACTAGTTTTAGAATGCCAAGAAATAATTGAGAAATTATAACGTGGTCTTCGAACTCCGCCTCGTAGCATGACCAACTCACTCGTAACGACGAGTGTATTGAATATTAATATCATACGCTAAAATATAAATTTGTCATATGTTTATACTATAACATTAGTGAATTAGTTACAGGCACAAGTCAAAGTGTGGATGAGCAGTCTAAATGTGTTTTCGGTGGCCGTTTGTGCGCCAAGATCTTTGGCACAAGAACACTGACGGAGTCACGTTAAGGGCCTACCATGGGCTATATCCCCAGTAGCTTTCGGTGGAAAATAAATTTTACATGTAATTTTTATTGATTTTCGAATGTATCCCACCATATTTTTAATCACTGATTTGAATTATCTCGATTTAATAATACAGTTTACAAAACATCTCTTTTTCTTACATCATTTTTCTCATCGCTTCTAGTACATGTACAAGTTTGGATTTGTTTGAATTTAATGTATTTGTTTAATAATGAAAATTATTGGCTCACCTTATGAAAATTTTCTTAAGTGAGCTGATACCGTGAAAAATTGTAATATCAAGTTTACTTTTGGGAATTGTTATTAGCACTCCAAAAATCTCATTATACACTCCAAACTTTCTATATTAGGAAAGAAAATTACACTTGTGAGGATTGTAGAATAAGATTTTTGGAGTGCTAATAACATTTTTCTTCTTTTTTTATAAAGATTCAAATCTTTAACCTAGCCCACCTAGTGAAAAAATCCTAGCTCTGTCATTGCACAAGAAGGAGTTGACCATAGCTTCTTGACTTGGTTCTAATTTTTCTATTTATTTTAAGGATACTGAGTCGGACTCTTCCCCTACTGTATAGAATAGAACATGTTGAACCAAATCTTTTTCATGTAAAACCTATTTTATTTAGATCAGAAAAATCATACGATTTTCTGAAGCCACATGACTCGAATTCATAGTGAAAAAGTGACAAAATTGAGGAAAAGGTAGTTCAAAGCCTATTTTAGGCCTCACTTCCACTGATTACAGAAATCATTTGAAAGAGTTGACAACAGCTCTGCTAGAGCTAATATGATTGATCAATGCTAGCTTTCAGAATAAAAACAAAACAATTAAAAAAAAAAAAAAATCCTTCGGCCATAAAGGCCCATCATTATTGGTGCTAATCATTCTTTAAGGGCATAAGTCCACCCAAAAAGCCCAACTACATAATTGCCATGCTGCCACCCCATATGATTGACCATCTGAGAGAATATGCTTTATTATTCTATTATGTCTACAACATTCATCACGTGACTTACTGTTTATAATTTAATGATACATAAATGACGAGTGTTGTAGACGAATAATATACTTTCTCCTCTTTTTGGGTATGCCCGCTAGTCACTACTAGCATGTCAATACTTTCAAAAGTTTTCTTTAAAACACGTCTCTAAATCCTAAATCCTAAACCTTGAAATCATAAACAAACATACTCATATTTCAACAAGCAAACCCTCCTCTTTATTTCGGCAAGAGACACTTATCACGTAACTGACTGTGTTGTAAACTATTGATACATAGATGACGAGTGATGTAGACGAATACCATACTTTCTCCTCTTTTTGGGTATGCCCACTCTTTAAGACACGTAACTAAACCCTAAACCTTGAAATCATAAAAAAAAAACATACTCCTATTTCAGCGAGCAAAACTGCCTCTTTATTTGGGTTAAAAAACCTGCTCCTCAAGCTGTACAGAGCAGAACTCTGGTAAACAAAAACTAGGTATCTACAGCCTTAGCTGTGGCAATGCTTGCAATGTACTCAATCTCCTCGGTGACTTCTTTCATCGAAGGCCGGTTCTGTCTACGCTCCTCCAAGCAACCCAACGCCAGGAGCCCCAACGCCTTCATCGTGTCCAGCTCCAAAGCATTCGCTCCCTCTTTCAGCAACGGATCAATCACGTCCACCAACCTCTCCTCCAACATCATCCTCTGCGCATAAACTGCCAGGTTCACGTCATCCGCTTCCCTGTTGAAGTCTATAGCTTTCTGAGATGTCAGCAGCTCCAAGAGCACAACTCCAAAGCTATAAACATCACTCTTGTCCGTCAATTGATAATTCCTATAATATTCGGGATCAAGATATCCGAGAGTTCCCTGAGCACACGTTGATATGTGACTTAAATCCGTGTGAGCCAACCGCGATAACCCAAAATCCGCAACCTTGGCATTCAGCCTCTCATCAAGCAGAATGTTACTAGACTTCACGTCACGGTGATATATTGGAGGGACAGCTGAGAAATGGAGATAAGCAAGACCCTCGGCCGTGTCAAGCGCAATCTGGAGACGTTGCATCCACGAAAGATGTTTCCAGCCACCAGGTTTTCGAGCCTGCAGATGTTCGAGAAGGGTTCCATTCTCGATGTACTCGTAGACCAGAATAGGCTGCTCTAACTCGACGCAGCAGCCGAGTAGGTGGACAAGGCTCTTGTGGTTAACTTGGCACAGAATTCGGACCTCGTTGAGAACTTGGTCAATGCCTTTGGTGTTTCCAATCTTAGCAATCTTGACAGCCACGACAGTGCCGTCTACAAGAGTACCTTGGTAGACTTCGCCGTATCCACCAGCGCCTAGGAGCCGGTCTTTGGAGAAGCTGTTTGTTGCTCTTTTGATCTCATTCCCGGTGAAGACTTTAGCGGCTCTGCCTCCGTTGGCATTTAGGATATCCTCGCGCTCTTTCGTCAGGCGCGCTTGTGCTTCTTTGATGCGCCTGTGGCGCTTGTAGAGTAGAAAGGCTATGGTGGCTGCGATTAGTGTTGCACCAATCCCACAAGTTAAACCTGCATAAGTTTCGATTTCCTTCTTGTTAGTGATGCAAATATAGAGTTTGTAAAATGTGCTGTAGGTTTTAATGTCTGAACCAAAATAAACCTCAGGTATGGTTTGTCACAACTTCTCTTGCATATAATGAATTTGATTTCGCAAGGGCTTGTAGCTCACTTAGTTAAGAATATTCATACTTGCGTCTCAGATCCGAAGTTCAATTTTCTCTCCTCCAGTATCGTTTGTAACAAAAGAAGAAAAATAACTTTGCTTTTACTATAATTTGTTTTGTTTTTATCAGAGTTCTAAAAGGTCCCGTCTAGACGCTAAGTAGTTAATCACTACCGCAATTAATCTCTAAGCGTTTAAAAATAAAATAAAAATAGCGCTAAGATCTGCCTACTGGATGTCCTTTTGATTACTATGCGTCAGAGAAATAAAAAGTTATGACACATACATAAAGTCTTATGTCATGAGAATTTGAAGTTGTGTAACGTGTGTTTGAAATAAGATTATAAAAGATAATTCCTTTCAAATTCAAAACTTCAGTTTTAATGACTAATTAGATTATGGAGGATCAGTATTCTTTACCTGCTATTAGTCCGGTGCGGTCCTTTGAACCAATGCTATCTGCCAACAAAAAAAAGTCAAAGCTCAAAAATCTGAGTGACCCTCAAAGTCAAAGGCTGAGCAGCCACGCAATACATCAAAACGGCACCGCAACTCACCATCAACGCATAAGCCTTGAACCGGGTCCCACGTAAAGCCAGAGTCGCAAAAGCACCTTCTGACCCCAGCGACAGCAGGGTCGGACCCACAAGTGGACATCCCCTCACAATCCGCCTGCGTCCCACACACGGGCTCCCTTGGCGATGCCCACTGTAGCTCCACTCCCGGTTCGGGCCACCGGTCAACGGGCAAACCCGGATCCAAGTTCACGAAACTGGTGTACGCGCTGCAACCCGAGTCTCTGACCCGGATCATGTACGACGTCGACGACCCGCCCGCCCGAAACGTGCAGCACAGCGATTCCTTGCAAGAGCCCACCGATCCGGTGCCTTTGATGTACGTGTGGCAGAGGCTCGACGCCGTGCAGTTGAGCGGCGATCGGAGGAGGGTGTCGGTGCAGTTGAGGTAGAGGATGGTGTTGCTGCTGGTGACGTTGAAGGGGAGGGAGTTGCTGAGCTGGAGGCCCTCGTGGACTATATCGGTTGCGATGCAGGTGTTGGGGAGGAAGGCGGAGGGGCGGAGGACCAGTCGCTGGGAGGCAGGGGAGACGGATTCGATTGGGTAGGAGTTGTTGAGGGTGTCGAAGAGGAGGGAGCCCGCGGAACAGCGGATCTTGTACGACTGGTCGCCGCACGTGGAGGATGTGCTGAGGGGGTAGGGGACGGTGGTGGTGCCGCAGTCTGGGCAGCGCTGGAGGGATAGTACGCACCAGGCGGAGGTTAGTAGGAGCGCGGCGGAGAGGAGGAGGGTGGGCGGAGAGGCCATTTTTTGAGAAGTGATTGCGCTGGAAAATGCGGTTGGGGAAGTGATGGGGGTTTAGTAATAAGGTGAGGGGGTGGATTTTGGTAGGAAATGGAAAAGATTCCTTGTTTTGAATTATTTTTTGGTGGGTTAAATTTTTGTCGTTTTCTGACATTTTGACAAAATGCAAGTTGGGTTTTGACACGTTTTTGCTTTTTGACTTCCTACTTCTCTAACCACTGTACGAGAGAATATTTTTGTTCATCACCCTTCGCTGTGATGCTCGTCATTTTATTTCATGTCGATAGATGATTAACTTATTAAATAACCAGATTAATCTCTCTTGCTCGTATAGTAGAATATCGTCTTATAAAAAGAAAACTACCATGAGAGAAATCAAGGGTCAATTAGTTTGGCAAGTGATTTCACACAATTCTATTTAGTTTATTTCACTTGAATTGAATAAATTATAAAAGAATTAAAACAGATAAATACGGGCATGCAAAAGGAAAATAAAGATTTGCGAAAAGCTATTTCATATTATTTTCAAACTTTAGGTTAAAATTTAAAAATTTTAACCCAAAAAATTCATATTTTAATCAGAAATTGTTTTCTACTTCAATGGTGTTGGATTAAACTTTTAGCCCAAAATTATTTGGAACGTTGGATCAACTAACTCTCTAATAACCCATGATGTCCGATTGAATAGAGCTGTTGGAATTGCATATGAGTGGCCGATAACCCCATCAAGCTAGGCCCCACTCTTTGCTTAGCGTTGTCCGCTTTGCCTTCTGCTGAATGCTTCTTCTTCCCTTTAGTGCGTCAATCCTGCAAGATGTCCCATTTCTCGGCACGTCTACACACAGAGGGCTAGAATTTTTAACTCGTGCTGAAATCTTGGCTGGAATTTGCTCCAAAAACTAGTTTTAACCCAAAACTGATTTTAGACTCAAAAGTTAGATTAAGTTTTGGAACTTAAATTTGAGGTTTTAACCCAAGAATTGAAGTTGACCTCAGTACAGTTCAGTTGTTTTACGTTCACTTTTATATCTGAATTCAACTAATCTACTTGTCATTCATCTCATTCATCTCGGCCGTCGAATTCTTATAGTCAAATGCTCGAGGTCTCTACATCCAAAGTCTTAGAAAAAAAAAAACAAAAAACAAAAAAGGACAATGACAGGAGAATAGATTTTTCTTTGAGTTAAGGAATCTCAAAAAAAATCTAATAATTTACGTCAAGTTGGACTATAACACATGAATAAAAAAATTAGAAACATTGTATTATATAAGTCAACAATATTATCTCTTTGGCATTTTCCCACTTTGTGTTACATCCTTACAACGTAAATTTCGGTGAGTCAACGATAAGAAATCTTATAATTTATAGAAATCACAAAGAAAAGAGGAAATTGCAGAGAAAGAGACATGAGAACGTGGTGAGGTTGAGGTTTCATCTAGAAGGCCTAACAAAGTCTCTATCCTCATCGCAGCATGGACAAATATAGAGGACGTTGAAATCCTGGATTAACGGCAAATCCGCAACTTCCAACAGCTTTTCCATTAGAATATTCACATCAGGCCGCAACCCGTCAACTTGTGGTATTTCAAACTAATCAATCAATGTCATATAAGTAAAACACACGACAGTGCATAATAAGTTTGAAACATCATCACCAGCGTTCTGGTTGCATGTAAGTCTCTCTCCTAGAAAATGAATTAAGGAAATTTCCATAGCATTCCCCACATAGTTGCAAGAGTCCTAAGACAATAAAGAACGATTACATAACATTTCAAGGCGTTTGATTACATCACAGCCACTTCCAATTGGATAAAACAGAATTCACACAGCCTTGGTTGTACATCTGGGAACTGATACGTATTACGATATCGTAACCGTGCCCGAGATTACGCCAATCGTGGAGGACGTCCGCCGTGAAAGAATGAGTACATGCATATACATACATAAATACATATGTATATACAGTTCCAAACTACTGTGTGAACATGGAACCAATAAGTTACTGACTTCCATGAACATTGAACACGGCTACCTAACAAAACTGTACCATTGCCCTTGGACTGGGAGAACTCAAGTAGGTTCAGCAAGCAGTAAGGTATGCCACCAGCCGCACGCCACATTTTTCGGCACACATCCGTCGATTGTGACTTGAGCCGGAATGTTGCGGTCGATCACATCGTCCAGGCCAAGCTGGAAAATGCAACAGAAAACCACAGTATTAGACTTGCAAGGCAATACGAGAAACGGGAAAATTGCAGAGCAAAATACAGTTCATAACGCGACATCGACATGAACTGTTGATGACAGCTGAATACCTGACCATACTTGTTCCATCCCCAGGCGAAAACTTTCCCATCCTCTACATGAAACACAAAAAATTAAGAATCTCTTTAGGTGAAAATTCTCATAAGTTTAACTTCAACATCTTCTAAACTAAAATTATGATATCACTTGATATTCCTGTAAACCCAAGCAACTGATATTTCCACCCGAATAGATATTTTTGTCCTTAATACCTACAAATTCATACACTTTCACTATTTTTTGTTTACCTAGTCGATCCATAGATTCCATACACAGACTCTGGAATTTTATAAGGACTTGTGAAGGCTCTTATGAGCTGACCAAATTTCCGTATTTCTTTCTCCATCTGTCGTTTCCTGTTTCCTGTTTCCTGGACCAATGGAGATGCTCACAAGCAACCAAATGCATCGAGATATTCATATTTGCATAACCACATAAAGATTGGATACCATTTCTTCTTTAGGGTAAAGAAGATAAAGTCGCCTGTCATAAAAGAGTACGGAAGCTTGTAAAAATGGACAGTAGCATACCAGTGATTATGGTACTATGACGCGCCCCACAGGAAACAATCTTTGCATTCACATTTTCCAGAACTGGAGCATCCAAAAGTCTTGGTATAATCTGGTTCACAATTTAAGAAAATTCAGTTCAACAGTTTCTCTGATATCGATTATATTGGCAATGATGATATGAAACAGTTTCTCTGATATCGATTATATTGGCAATGATGATATGAAAATATTACAAAAGCAGGGACATGTTTATTGATTTGATTAACTAATTTATGTAACCCTACCAATATGCTAGCAACATTATATGACAAAGTAAGGGCGAAATTTATGGTTATCGTCCCATTTTATCATTGCTTGAACGACAAAATCTATGAATACAAAAATCATATAACATTCTAGTAAGTTGATAACTTCTCAGTTGATGAGAATGCCATGACCTCTAGCGAAATAATGGATAAATTTCAGTCAACTTCAAGGCTTACCTCAGCTTCATCAGCTCCGGTACCCAGCTGTCCAAACTGATTCCTGCCAAATGCATAAACATCACCATCAGCTGAAATGCAGACAGTGTGCCACAGTCCTGCAGCAACACCCTCTATCCGGATACCCAGTAATGAAGATACACAAGTCGGGCTTAATTCATCATTTGTGCTTCCTTGCCCACACTTGAACAAAACAAAAATGACAAGGAAATCAGTTTTACACCATTTGAATAATAGAAATAGTGCAGAAACAGTACATTATAGGTAATGTTAAGAAGAAATAGAATAGATTAATCCCTTTTGAGTGAACCTCATCTTAAGGATCTACAATATTTTTTCTCCGCCGTTCCTACATTACCTACATGTTGTACAGTAGAATGGTTAAATTTGGGGAACTCCGGCTAGTTGTTTGCGTATGGATGGATACAAGGATTAAAATTTTAGACATTCCAGCTTGATTGGAACACCAGTTCCATCTTGTTTAGGTACTATAGTTGATGATTTTTTATATTTGTGATTAATAGCAGTTTTACCATCAACAAGCCAAGAAGTCTGTTGTGCATAAGGATGAAAAAGAATTAACGCAGATCAGCGCATATGGTTTCAAGAAGATAAAGCATGAGGCAAAGAGTACAATACAGAAAACTCACCTGTCCATACAGCCCCCAACCAAAAGCAAGTACAGCTCCAGCATCTGAAGCGCGAGAAAAAAATAAAATACAGACATGTAAAGATAAACTGCATACAAAGCATAAAAGCTAAAATGCTACAATTTAGGCATACGATCGTTTAACATCTCAGTTGTACCACATGCTACACTAACCACAGGAATGACATTCCTGTGACAAATCAATTCTAACTTCCCACTTATAAACAGCTATAACTATGAAGTTTTGAAAACGGCTTCTATCATTCAAATGTGCTCTGTCTGTGGTGACTGATTCTTCAGTATTTAGTCGAATATTTCTTACATATAACATATTAAAGACAAGAAGTAGCAATTGAGTATCTAAGAATAATTAAAAACCTTGGCAGTAACAGTACTATCCAGCTTGGATGCCCATGCTTATACATAATTGGAGAAAGAACTTAAAATTTGTACCTGTGATTACCACACTATGTCGCCCTCCACAGGCAATCCCCTTCACATAATTCCCAGGAACCCCAAGACCATATCCGTCTGAACCCATGGTTCCTCTAGACAGTCCTGCAGATCCATCTTTTCCATAAGAGGACTCGATGCAAGGTACAGGATGAGGAGAGGACACCATACGTATGCGGGAGCCCATACCAAGCTGCCCTTCACCTCCATAGCCCCATCCCCACACTTGTCCTCTATCTGAAGTTTTGGGAAATCAGGATACATCATGTCTTCCTTTAAATAATAATTAATTAAATATTCTAGTTTCTAACTTGATACTCCATTCCGCACCTCATTTCATGACCACCAATGCAAAGACACTATGCATCGCATATAAATATAAATCAGAACAGGGTAAAATTACCTGATAATGCCAGAGTATGGCGTCCTCCAGCAGCTACACTGGATATTCTAACTCCCGGATTCAATGCCACAAGACAGGGCAATGCTGACGGAGGTTCATCACCAGATGATGAACATTCAGCCGCTTGTTTTGCTGAAGATAATTTTCTTCGCTTTGTACTTTCTTCACTAGCAGAAACTGCCGCGGCAGTGGATCGTGAGCCATGACAGTGAGGGCTAACTATATCATAAACATAAATAAGTCAGCAGTGAATGAAGAACAAGCTTTTGCCATTGTCATGAAAAAGAGGCCAAACATAAACTACCTTGCTCGGTCATAAAAGAATTCTGCCTTTCAAATGCATCCTTTTCACCGTCTGACCCCATAGATTGCTCCCCAAAGACCCTCCCAGATGGAACACACTCTTTCCATCCCCATGTGTAAACTCGTCCATTATCTGCATTAAACCCAAAATTTATTAACTGGCTCCAACTCTTAATAGCTTAATAAAGTTGGAACACAGAAACTGAAGTTCTTTCCACAATTCAATTAGTTACCAACTAATTGTTTCAGTCACTTTAGTTTTATGCGCTTAATTGCGAAAAATCCACTCTTTTGAGAAAAATGCAGTTGGGAAATCAGCATTACCTGTGACTGCAACACAATGGGCCCAACCCGCGGCCGCCTTTACTATAGAAGCATCATTTGGAAGAGGAAAAGGTTCCGGATTTTCCTTAAACATGTGAAATTGAGAACAATGTCAAATACTTCCAGCAAGAAACAAAAACAAAAACAAAAAAAAAAAAAAAAAAAAAAAAAAAAAAATCAATGAAATGAACTACGTATCACGTAGCGCTACCGTACCCCATGCTTCCCAGATGTCACATAGCTTTGGCCCAGATCATCTGTTGATCCCCATGTAATAAGCTTTCCAGGTTCTGAGGCAAAATGCAACAGTAAAGAATCATAAAGAAGCAAAAAGAAATGCACTTTGAAGAGAAAACGTACACAAACAGATACGGTAAAACAGCATTCGGGAGAAAAATAACAGTGTGTATCAACTGCCACAAATTAAAGCAATTGCGGGTTAAAGCCGGTTTGCCAAGACAGTGTGCCCAATCAGCGAATGAGTTGTGGTTAGGGGTGAAATGCCACTCGAACCCAGAGCAAGCTGGTTCTTGCATCCCCGATGCAGCCAGTTTGAAATTCCCCCTCGCAGTAAATTAGAGCAGTTGAGAATATATATCGACTAAAAAAACAACTCTGTAACTAAATTCACTAACTTTACTAAAGCTGTGTGTTTTCGTATATAGCAAGAAAATAGCATAAAAAATAAAGTTTCAAGCTTTACTTCCGTTTACTTTCCCACGTTTTCTCGGCAACCAAACAAGATATAAATTGCAGTCAGAAAGAGTAGGAAACCAAGGCAGAGTTCGAAGAAAGCACCTGAAATGGCCATGGCGAAGCCGCAGCCGCCACCGCACACATCCTTCCACGCGTACTCAGCTCCGGCCGCCCGCACGACCGTCGGCGACAGAAGCGGCGACCTGTGCGGCAGAGCTCCGGGCAGATACCCCCACATGAACACCACATTCTCTTTCCCCTCTTCCATCTTCACTTCCTCTTCCGTATTCCCCTCCGCATTCATCGCTCGAAAATATCCGAAAAACAGGAAACCGGTTCCAAATTCGAGTTTTCGTTTCTCGTTTTCGGAAGTTTCAGAAATTTCTTGAAGTTTTTTGAGCTTCGGTGGACTTGTTATATACGATTTCGACAGTGCCCTAGTTCCTGCTGGGTCGCGCGAAAAAATGGGGCCGTATCAAATTCAAGAAAATGGGACGCCACGTCGGATGCCGCGTGGTTTTTTGAACACGTGGCACGTTTTGGACCCCTAGATGGCTCGGCCGCTGCGAGCCAGTAGTTCCCGGAAGCTTCCGAAGGTCGGCTCCCTAAACTCCAGAGAGCATGTTCGGGGCTGGCGTGGCCGCCTTGCTATCACACCACGTGGTAGAATCTGATGCGATCACTAATGATTATGTCGTGCCACGCGTCCGCATCCTTGATACGGGACCTTTCAAAAATGATTCTTTCTATGATTTTCGTTGTTGATACCATTTAGTACTATGATATAATGAAATTTCTCTTCATTTGTAAATGAGAGACTTTAGATTCGATTATCACCAAATGTGAATTTGAACCATATTATTAATAACTCATTGTGAGGCTAAGCTCACATTTCTCTCTCTTGATATAGATAATATCGTTGTTCAAAAAAAAAAAAAAATGAATTTCCGTTTTTGGTATATATATTCCAAAAAATGTAGTAGGACTTGCCATAAGTCACAATTGACTAGTTATATTCACGTATCGCACTCATTATTAATGATTTAAATTTGAGACGTTCTATTTTATTTTTTAAAAAAATGATTAAAATGTCGTGTTAATAGCCACATTTTTGTGATATAATACTATTTACTTTAAATCGTATAAGAATAATTTGTTTATTTTTAATAATTTATTAGAACGATATGTTATTTAAGGTTTATTTTATTCTATTTTTAGAAATATCCTAACAACTTGGCATGATAAGTCACTTTTGGAATATAACTATATACGTCATGTTTCCTTATTTGTTTGGTAAAGATGGCTACTTAGTACTTACACATCATGCTACAAATAATTTTCAGTAAAATGACAAAGTTTTTCATAAGGACCACCCACCCGGTATGAATTTTGCAATTGGCTTGACAACTATAGGAACTATGGAATACTCATCGTAGCAGCATCTTAACTCAAATCTCCTAATTTTTAAAATAAGACTCCCTCTGTAAATCCTTAAAGAGATTTGTGGTATATCTAGCTCTCGATAGGTAGCCTCCTCTCCCTCTAAATATTTTGTTACCCAAAAAAAATAATGATATAGTACTGTTGGTATAAATGTGTATGGATGACCTTCTGTTATTGTGTTCCCGAATCAATTCAATCCACACAAGAGAGAGAGAGAGAGAGAGAGAGAGAGAGAGAGAGAGAGAGAAGGAGAGAGAGAGAGTCCATAAAACCTAACTTGGAATCCGAACCAGTGTGCCCTGGTACTGTCCCTTCCCTCGGACATTGACCAATTTCTGCTTGGCACAAGTGGCACATGATCCTTCAGTATTACGTTTTGATGATATTCATTTTCACTTGGAAGTAAAAGATCTTAAGTTTGAATTTTGTTGATAGAGAATTTGATACCAAATTAAGATGCTCATTGTATGATTTAGCCGAACTCCCCTTCTTTTAGTGTAAAAATATTAATGTAATCAAAAGTGACGCAGGCCCCAGCCCAAAACAATAAATGCCTGAAGTGACTAAATGTACACCTGAGGAACGTTGGATAGACTGCAAACCACAAATTATGACGGAATGGATTGTCTGCCCTCCTCATCCTATACCCTTCCCATCCTCTTCTATTTTTGTGATCATGGTTAAGCCACGTCAATATTTTATATTCCCATTGCTTTTTGTCTTATTATTTCTATAAAAAAAAAAATCAATATAAAATGTTGTCATGGCTTAACTGTGACCACATAATATAGGAAGGGATGGAAACCGTATGGGATGAAGAGGGCAGACAATCCAAGTCCAATTCTGAGTGGTGGTTTGAGTACGAATCCGTAAAACCACTCGTTACTCGTTAGGCCTTGTGTACGACACAATCCCTCATGGCTATACCCCCATCTCCCTCAAGCCCCCTCTCAAACCAAACACTAGAAAACAGTGAAAATAAGAGAAATGATTTATGCACAATGCTTAAGTTAGTTGTTTATGCGTAATTGTTTTTAAAATATTCCACATTATACATCAAGATTCGAAATTTCTGATAAGATTTGCTCGACTTTATCATAGGTTATAAAGTTGTTGCATCACTAATTTGAGCATGTCTTTATTGGAAGAGCACATTACACCACGCACAAGCTTAAACTTTTATATAATTTTGTTGTAAGTGATGTCCAAACAGAGGCAGATCTTCGTGAAGGGTTAGATTAAGCTCTAGTCCAGCTCGAATTCCATTATCCAATAAAAAGTCCCGTACATTGATTTACCTATTTCAACCTCAATTTAGTCCGAATTTTCTCCGTTAATCTACTCTCCAACCTCTTACTTTCTCATCCTAACTCTACCACTGTCCCTAGCAATTATGAGTAGAACCTCACCCTGAATCGTATGGTTAACTTAGTGACACAATTTAGTTGAAGCAAATCATGAGGCTAGGAATATAGTTTGATGATTAAGTCTAAGAGTCCCAAAGTCCCCACTATTTTTCAAGTGATCATGCATGCAGATATTGCACATGTTTCATGTCTGAGCCTCATGTACCATACGACATGCTACCCCAAATGCACCAAATCCGGGCCCTCCAATTATATGCCTCTCACTCAATCATGCAATACCTGATCGTGTGGCTACGATGGAGGTTCATCTGATCCCCTGCAGCGGCCCTACAGAGTTATAGACTCTTATCGAAACACATAGTCGTACGGACTCGTACTGTTTGGTTTACAGGCACCAGTTGGCAACACGTACAGGTTGCAGATTCACACCGTCTAATTTAGTTTTGGATTGAAATTATTTTATGGGGTCACTTGGAAGTTGAAATTGTGTTGGGGAAGCTGCATCGTAGGGGCCAATGCCGTTGCTAGGCCCTCTAGGTATGTCCTCCTCAGGTTGTCAGGGTTTTTGTTTTGGTGAATCTTTTGTTGGAGTTTTGAGCCCCTTTAGTCACATCCGGAACTCAAATCGTTATATTAAGTTAGTCATCTTTATTAGTGATTAGGTGTTAGATTATTTGGAATGAGGATTGAGGTTTGGGCTACTAATTATGTGGATTAGGCTTGATAATTATATCATAATATTAATTTTAATTAATCAAGACAAGGTGAGTCTTGGGGCCTAAGAATTAAAATTAATCAATCATTAATTTTAATTTTGAATTAAGTTTTGAATTAAAAACGTTTTGATTAATAGACACAACTCTTTGGAAAGAGTGGTGTAGCTTCAGATAAACCCAAAAGGTATTTGAACAGGTATGAAAGAGCCTATATAACTGGAGTATCAGTTCCATCATACATCATCTTTTCTTTTCCCATCTCTCCCATACAAAACCTTACAGAGAGTAAACACACAACGTAATTCGCCAGAATTCTATAATCCAGTGCAGGTTGTAGAATTAGGTAGTTGTATCTTGGTCAAGCAGACGTTGTAGAACCACAAGTACAAGAGTGGAATGGAAATACTGTTCGAATGACATAGTTTTTGCACTAGCCTCTACCTTTAATTCATTCAAGTTAGTATCATTTTTAATTTCTGTATTTATTGTGTGATTTCATTCTATAGTGCAAGTATTTTTGAGTAATAAAGTATAAGTGTTTCAAGTTTTGTATTTCTGTTATTTTTTATTCTAAATTGTTCTCCAACATCTTTTCATTTTATGAACAACAAAAACATCCCGAGAGCTCGGACTTTGGTTAGAGTAGTGATGAGTAGATTTTATATTATATATTTAACCCTATTCTTAGTTTATTTTGATTATTATTTTGGAAGAATTTTGATACTTTGAATTGTATTTTCAATATAGGACTTTCGACTTCCTCTGGAGCAAAACGTTATCAAATGGATGAATTTTGAAGTAATTCCAATTAAAGGACGTTCGTGAGTCAAATCGTGTCAAAATTCCGAGAGCTCGGGCCATGCTAAGACGGTCGCATCGAGCAAAATTGTGTTCATACGTATCAACCTCAGACCTCTGTAGGTAACTTGTATGCTCTTGAAAGTGGCTTGCAAACTTATTAGTTGGCAACTCCAGGCTAGGCAATTAGCTCCGTCGGTTTAAAAGCAAGTTTTTTCATTACCATAATCTTCACATACACCAGTAGTCAAAATAAAGCAATCCTAAGTTCCAATAATTATGAAGTTGCAACACAAACAATCAAGTTTCAAAGATTTCATTGTCTGTTTACTTCTTTGATAAAAAAGCTACATGTTTTCCCAGGATGAAGTGGAGGATGATAAAAAAGCTATATGATGCATCAGAGCGGTTAGTTTTTCTGGTTCCATTTTAGTGTGACTACAATTAGGAAAGGCCATGAAGGCAATTTTAAACAGAAAGGGGAAGCGAAGGGCCATGCCAAGACGGTCGCATCGAGCAATTGTGCTACATGCCCGATTAACTCAAGGGCTAAATCAACGAAAAACGAAGAAAATGTAGTGTTGTGTTGAATCTTGACCAATCATTCCTAACTTACGAAGTATAATCGATCCTTATAAACGTACACAATACTAATATGACTTGTTCATCTATAAAGTCAATGAAATTTGGGAGAGATCCGAGGTTTGAATCCATCCAGCATAAGCGGAAAAAGAACCGACTCGTAATAACATAAAGTGTGTGTTGAGGCATGTTGTATGTGTAGCTTGTCGCCAATGCTTGGTTTAGCCTTCTTATAATTTCTAGCAAGCTAATTCATTGGGGTAGTGTCATGCTGTTAGCGTTCAGAGTCTCTCGACATGCAGAAGCACACATGCACGTAAATACCATGCTGTGAGAAGGTATGCCAACCAATTCTTGTGAACCCTAATCATGCCTCTGGAGCCTGCCTCGAGGATTAACTCTCATAAACTCTACAAACTAAGCTAATAAACACCAACTAAACCACAAAAGAAAATCTCGTTCGAGCATAACAATTAGCTCATACGAGAGAAAAGATCAGATGGAAAGCAGAAAAACAACCAGCAGCATGAGCTACTTCAAGATGCCTCTTCACTACCCGAGATACACCAGAAAGGACTACCAGGACATGCCTGAGTGGAAGCTCGACCACCTTCTTGCTGAATATGGGTTGCCCATGCAGGGTGACTTGGCTCACAAGCGAGAGTCTGCAATGGGTGCCTTTCTCTGGTCTGATACTACCGTCCAGGATGCTTCAAGTTCTCTTCAGGACAAAAAGTTCAAATTGCTAGCTTGCTACCTGCAGTATCTACTACATATTTAATGTACTTTTGTTTCTACCATGCTTCTAACTCCAAGAACATAACGAATTTGATTTTCGTTACAATATTCAATTAAGATTCGTAGAAAAAATGGTGGGCATGCAAGGCTCATCTCGTTCATGCGTAGAAAAAATGGTGAACAGTAAGAATGTACCCCAAATGAACTCAATTTGTTGAAGTCATTACCGTGTCAGTGTGTAACATGAACTTTAGAGGAGCTCATACACGTTCATCATTGTTGGTATCAAAACCGTGCACAACATCACAGAATTTTAACCTTTCATCTCAAAAATGTTCTCCTTCAAAAACAATCGAAGACCTTCAACCGCGGGGCAGCAATCTCCGTATCACCAAAGGACCGCGAGTTGCTCATTACCTCAACAAATTATAGGCAAAAACTGAATAAGTAAATTTCGACACTCAAGTCACTATGCTTTTCTCTAATAAATTTCACATTCCATTGAAAAGGAGAGTCTACCTACAAATCCTACATAACGCACAACGTAACCATACAAATTTCAATTTCACATCCAACAACAGTGCCGGCCACAGGACCTGATATTCTGATAAGAAATTACAATTAACCTTTATACAAGGAGTGCCTACCACAATGAGAGACGATAAGTGACAAATACACGATCGCCATTCATGACTACCACTCCTTCCAGGCTTGTGGCACCTAAAGGAAACTACATACACTAATACCGCCGCCTCACGCGCCTACCATTGGGATTTGCGGATTCTGCTACGGTCCCACCCCCATCTGCTGGCAAATCTAGCCCGTATATGCTGCTACCACTCCTCTTCCGGCTTGACAGAAGACTAGAATTGTCATCCACCGATGCAAATGTCTCCAGCAGCTCTACCAACATTGATGGGCAGCTCTCTTCGAGATGCTTGTACCCATCTGATTGCATTACGGCTGCAAAACACACGAGGATTCATGTAGTCCAGTATTCAGTTTTACAACATAAACTACAAAATGAAAACAGTTACATGCAAAGCAAATAAAAAGTAGTTCCTCTATGAAAGGATGAGAGTAATTGTTGCAGCCGGACGGATGTGGAAAATACAAGCTTTGAGAAAGAACGCGTGAAAATTAGGATATGTTCACAGGTAGATAATGTCCATCAATATTTTCAGCAGAACACCATGCCATTCAACCATGTGAGGATAAGGAACTACGGTTAAACTTAAATCAATACACTAATGGCATTATGGGAACTCATGTTTCAGACCATTCAAAATGGTCATTCAATCATTAACCAACCGATATGGCATTCATCGCTTAATTCCTAAAAACTAAGAACAAAATAACTGTATTCGATATTTATATAAATGAATATGGTAAAAGATGGGCAGGGAGAAAGGTCTGTGCCTTGTTAAGACCGATTAACAGCACTTCTGGTTTAAACTTAAAAACCGGTTTCCAGGGTCTAAAATATGGTAAATTGTGACAATCTCGTGCAGGTCCAACTCGTTGAATCACTCTTCTACCATTAGAGAGAGAAACAGTGAAATTCCTTGTATTTCTTTCCTTTCTTTAACTTAATGGAGAAAGAACGTATAGGGGAAGAACCTATATGCAATCAGCCAAAATAGAAATCCTACTATACCATTCTCAGAATGCTGCCCCTCGATCAGCCAGATATCAAGTTGTCACCATAGGCTGACCAGAGGACCCAGACGGAAAGGCTGACCAGAGGTCCCACCGTCCCAAATGGAATTATCATAAATTTTAAGGGAACATCCTTATTGACATCCTGAAACCATAGAGATTGATAAGGACATCTGCAACATGTATGATGAGGCAGGCAGGCATGGTACTGCATCAAGGATACTTGAGACTACTAAGAAACAGAAAATTCAAAACTGATATAACCTGAAACCTTGCAGCATCAGAATCTATGGGTAACACCCACCTCCCAAGTTTGACGGATTTGCTGCAAATTTAAGACAGACATCCTTGAGCTGTCGACATTGATGCTGTTCGGCAAGAGCAAGTGTAGTCGCCACTGTTTCAGTAGTGATTTCTTCACACAACTTTGATTCACACAACAATTTCAGTCGATCTAGATTATACAGGTCTGCAGCTGCCAACAGATGCTGCACCATGACAGTGAATGTGCACAAAGGTGATGAGCCCATAACTTCATGTATATCAGGAAGTTTGTCTGTGTAAATAAAGAGAAGCATTGCCTGGAAAAAAAAAAAAGAACAAGATCTCTATTAAATTCATTAAACATGTTCAAAATAAGAGAATACATAAATAAAACCATACGAATAAAACTTAACAGGAAAAGTCTTCTTTTTTTTTTTTTTTTTTTTAACAAACGATTGCATTAGTGGGTTAAATTGTTAGTAGGGGGAGGGGGATCGGTAGGATCAGACCCACACCAAGGTGTATAGGCATCATTGCTTTCCGCCACTACGGTAAAAAAGCATCATCTGCCAGGAATCACTGTGAATATTGGAGCTGAACTTCTAGTCTAAATCTCAACTAATGAAACAAAGACAAATGGACCAGTGTAATATTCACAGTTACATGTTACTGAAACAAGCTCAAACTGGTTCAAATATTCACTTATTAGAGCTCAGTTCTAAGCATTCAACTCCCACATGTACCCTTAATTACTTGTTGAATCTGAATCCAGACAAGCCGTCAGCTCCTTTTGATTTATCACATTTAATTATATCTGTAATCACTCAAACATCGACAGTAATAAACTCAAACCTTAAGATGACTCTTTCCAATTCATATTAGGGCCTTCCTGTAATAATTATACCGCCAAACAAGCAGACCCCAACAAGCACTGTAGTTTAAGTGCTAAAGGGAACATGAAAGAAACATAGGTCACTTTCCCAGATAATCTTTTTAACCTATAAATAAGTGTTTATATTTACGTGAATTTAACAACTCTATACATCATATGAGAACTTGTAATTATTATAATTATTACTTGGTCTTGATAGCTACCAATCTACAAAATAAAACAAGCATCTGCCACACTTATTCATCATCCCAAGATTTCTTATTTGTTCATTTGATAACTGAATTCAAGAAGAAACTTTTGACTACTAATAACAGTGTAAAAGGTGAAAGTCAATTATGGAGACATAGAAGTGCACAAATGTTAACGCACATATCATGCACTAGAATCGTTTTCTATTAGTTTCAGATGGTAAGAGGTGGAATCAACAAGATCAAGATCATGAAGCATTACCTTAAAGATGAAGGGCTCAACATCCTCCACAACTACTTTATCTACGTTACAATCCCCGACAAGTCCATAAAACTGCGCTCTGAATACACGAGACCTAGCAGCAAGAATCAACTTGTGAGCTTTCAACTGTTCATCACCAACCTGAAAAACTATGTCACAACCAGCTTCAGAATCTAGAAAGTCCTTCAGGTCTCGTCCCATGTCTGACAATGGAACAGTGATTGTAAATTGCTTTGGTTGCTCAAGGCGAGTTCTTACAACTCCAACAGTGCAGTTCAATACAAGGCAATCATCCTTAAGGAACTCAGAAGTTTCTAGGAGTGATCTTCTGAAGAATTTCTTGTAACCCCTGAAATTACAAGAATAAATCTAATTACGGAAACTTGCAGAAGGTTCCTACCTGAACATAAACTCCCAATATTCGCAAATCAGTATGCTTAACCAAAATTGGAAAATAAGATACAGAAACCGCAAGGAATCTATAAACAGTCTGATAAACGATAAATGATGAACTTCTCAAATTAGAACTTTGCAAAAACAGTTGACAGGTAGTCTTCTGGTAAACAATAGTGTAGACACAGATAATGAAATGTTAGGTTTTTCCAAAATATAATCTTTAATATGAATAACAATCATCGGATAAAATAATTTATCTATAAATAACATTTCTAACGTGGGATGTCTCTCGGGTCTTAATCAGACCTTCAATCTTTGGTTCTGTTTTACATTTAATACGGAGAAAAAAATACCAATCTAAATCAGTCCTTGTTCTTTAGCTGTGTTGATTTTCCAAGTGATTTATTAAATAAATGTACAATTCAAAGTTTTACTAATAACAATGTGACAAGAAAACCGAAGTAGAATGATTCATTTTAAGATTTGGATGAACATACAAATTCATACATCAGTCTAAACAATGATATACTTCACAAAATTAGTATCCATTGAAGTTTTTTCCTACAGTTTTATGCATTTTAATTTTTAACTCTCTCATTTATTCAAAGCAAGCCTAAGGACTGGACACCTATGCTGCAGAGCTCACTGCCACTTAAGCGAAAAGCCCCCAATATAACAACATGCTTATCTAGCGTAATCACATGCAGACCCACTGAAAAAACACAATATTCATCTTTACATTCCCCAATTCAACACCCATACCGGTCACATTAAAATCTGAATTACCCAATTGATCACCAAGCTGCTAAATTACCATTCGTTCACATAAAACACATTAAAACCTATCCCTAACCCACAATTCACCAGGAATGCACTCAATTTTATCATAAAAATCAGAACTTTACAGCAAGAAAACCCGCCAATTAACCCATTAAAACACATACCACATACTGCCTCTGTACTTCAGCGTGTACGGTCCGCCCTCGAGCGCGCGATCAAAGTGACTGTGCACCTTGTCCTTCCCACTATCCGTCTGGTCCACCAACGTCAGCTCGAATAAAGCCCTCACATCCGTACCCTCACTAACCAAAGCAATGAAAACCGAGACGTATGCGTTGCTATCCTCGGGGTTTTTACCGTCGGGGTAAAAGTAAATTGCCCAATCGTATCCGCCCACTGCGAACGTATCGCTCGTCAGGTACTTCCCGGCGCCCATGCCTTTGGCCAACGAATACCCCTTTATCGTGAACCGGTGCGACCCGTTCACGGTCTCGCTGATCGATCTCGAGCACGACTCTTGGTCGGACCCAGGCTTCGAATTCCCCATGGATTCACCCGATTTCGCTCCTCTAGAATGTTTGCGAATCGGCGGCATCGGACAGGCCGGTCCGAGCTGAAACCCTACAAGTACGATCGGACAAGGCGCGGCCTTGGCATAACATGTAAATTGGGCGAATTGGGGGGAAGAATTCGGTAAGGAAAACCCTAATTTTGGGTTTTGTGGGGCGAAATGGGAGTAGAAACGATGCGTCGCCGGAAGAGACGAAGACTCGAGAAGATTAAGGGGGGAAGTTGGTGGCGTCGTTTCTGGGGTTAGGCGGGTCGTTTTACGGGGCTCGATTCGAATTTTAGATCTTTCGGTTCTGTTGACGTGTCGGAATGGACTTGAAGAAGATAGATTGAAAGTAGAGTGTATTAATTTGGTTAATTAGCAACCTAATTACACGAAATTAGGCCCAATTCTCTTCACTAATCACGTGTATCATGGACACAAATAATTCTACGAACCATCATGTATGCAATTGAAAGATTCGTTCATGCTCCAGTTTAGGATTGAGCGCGAGAGAGCTGAATTCAACAAAAGAGACTTTCTGAACGACCATCTTTTGAGTTTTGATTTATGAATAACGAATCAAAATGTCATTTCATATGTATGTTATTTGGACTCGAACAAATCACACATCGCAAGATACTAGGCCTTGTAATTCTTTAAGAGGTTTATCTAAAAGATTCACAATATAACTAGCAGATTGTCATCAAATCTAACGACTGCCGGAGGGGGGCCTGGACCAGTTGGAAAAAGCTCGAACCCGCTTACGTAAAGTAGAAACGGAAGTGGATCAGTTTCGAAGGACTGGATGACAAGAGTTGGAACAACACACACAAAATAAAAAATTAAGTACATAACATTCGAAACAAGAGGAATACCAAGGGGATATTCTCAAAGTGGAACTTTCTATAAATTCTCTGTCATCTCATAGTTTAACGTTAATTTCCGTGCTAACATTTTATAATATTGTGCCCAAAGCATAAGGTGGTAGATAGTCTAACGAGGGTCACACTTTGAGATAATCCCCTTAACATTTCTTCAACGTGATGAATTTTTAGATGATTATTTATTTGCTCAAAATCTTAAATTTGTTTATTTATTTAGGAAAATTTTTCTCACCGTCCTTAAGTGAAGATGGCGTTCATCATCTTGCTTATTTAAATTTAACATTAGTAAGATGAATAAACATGAACAGTGCAAACTAATCTGTTTTTACAGTTTGTTTGGATTTTTTTACCCGCCCTTTAACGCGGAACATTCATCCCTGACAACTGCAATTTCCTCCTCTCAAATGCACACGTGTCACCATCTCACACTCCCTCCACAAAATAATTTTACACCTCCGTCGGTGACGGTGACAATAGCAAAGCCGTCAAACAGTGTCTGTCTTCTTCCTCGGCCACACCGCACCGACACTCAACCTTCAGATCCTCGCTGCTCTCACTCTCAGACCACCCCAGTTCCGATTCCTCAACCCACCAAAACGCAGCGTCTCGTTTCGCTTCGACGGCGTTCTTCGTTTCCGATTCCGCCCAATTGAATTAAACTAATTATCCCAAAGATTAAATCATGACAATTTTGGGCAATGGCGATTGGCTGCGAATCCCGTTGATCCTGAAAGTTTGCGGATTTGTGATGATGGCAGTCACCTTCTTCTACTTCGGGAAGCACTGGTCCGATGGGTCCCAGCAGCTACTCTTCTTCACCACCACCACGAGCCGAGCACCCTCCGCCGTCTCCGTCTCGCCCAACCTAGACAAGCCTTTCAATCTCTCCGCCCTCATAAACGAAACCCTAGCTCCACCCCCGTTGCTTCCGTCTCCGCCGCCTCCGCCGCCGCCCGATGTGGTCCAGAGGTTCGGGATCGTCGACGAGAACGGCACCATGTCTGACGAGTTCGAGGTCGGGGATTTCGATCCCGATAAGGTGGTGGAGAATTGGAGCAGCCAGAACGGGAGTGCGGCGGAGAGTGAGCGGAGCGGGGAGGGTCGGGTGAGTGTGAAGAGGTTCGAGCTCTGCCCGAAGAGTATGAGCGAGTACATACCTTGTTTGGATAATGTGGAGGTGATTAAGAGGCTGAAATCGACGGCGAAAGGCGAGCGGTTCGAGCGGCATTGCCCGGAGGCTGGTCGGGGTTTGAATTGCTTGGTTCCGCCGCCCAAGAGCTACAAGACCCCAATTCCGTGGCCTAAAAGCCGGGATGAGGTATTTTCGGAGATTTTAAAGTTTCTTTTATGTGTGTGTTTGTTTTTAAGATTAAAGCATTAATCTTTTCGAACTTTGTTGATGAAATGTCACTTCTTGGCAGGTTTGGTTCTTCAATGTACCTCATACAAAATTAGTGGAAGATAAAGGGGGTCAGAACTGGATTACCAGACAGAAGAACAAGTTTAAGTTTCCGGGAGGTGGTACACAGTTTATACATGGAGCAGATGGTTACTTGACTGATATTTCTAAGGTTAATACTGTTTAAATTCGACGTGACTGGGAAATGTGTAATTTGACCTTTCGATTACTGTTATATCGTGTTTTTTTCTGATGGTCATAGTATAAATCGTGCAGGCGGTCCCAGACATCACCTTCGGTCAGCGTGTCCGAGTTGTTTTGGATGTCGGATGTGGTGTTGCGAGTTTTGGTGCGTATCTGCTGTCGCGAGATGTCCTTACTATGTCAGTTGCACCTAAAGACGTTCATGAGAACCAGATTCAATTTGCTCTTGAGCGCGGTGTGCCTGCAATGGTAGCAGCATTTGCAACTCACCGTTTATTGTACCCAAGTCAGGCATTTGACCTGATACATTGTTCACGATGTAGGATTAACTGGACTCGTGACGGTATGCAAAACTTATATTTAACTTTTTATTTTCCAGTGAACTGCCTTAGTTACAAGATGGTCACTTAGGTAGGGGAATATCTTCTGATTGTGTTTTCTTTACCTCGTTCACTTCTTTGTTTTGTAGATGGCATATTGTTGCTTGAGGTTAATAGGATGCTCAGGGCAGGAGGATACTTCGCTTGGGCAGCACAGCCAGTTTATAAGCACGAAGAAGTTCTAGAGGAGCAGTGGCAAGGTATTACTGCGAAAGATTTGTTTGGTGAAACTTTTTAGTAGTGTATTGATTGCTGGTTAGTGTTTGAAAGTTCTGCAGTTTTTGTATTAGCATTTCCTGACCCAGATGAATTGAGAGCAAAACAACATTTTGTGCCTCCACTTAATCAATTCTCTATCCCACAAAAAACTATAACCTATCATTTCTGTTTGACTGTACAACAACAACAACAACGCTGTTTGGTGCACACGATTGCTTTCCACCACTGGAAGCACCATCTTCGTTAAAAAATGCTGTTTGGTGCACACGAAAATTTCCATTCTAGCTGTCATTTTGGCATAATATATGACTCTGTCCCCAGTTTCAAGAATGTGGAAGGATCGAGAAGAGAAGTGGGCGCAAGGGTTTAGTAATCATATCTGGACCTGGGAAACAATTAAACCTTGTGTACTAACTTCTTGTTTGATAACATCACTGGTTTAATAGAAGCAGCCTAATTTTTGGTCCATGACCTGACAAGAATATATCCTCTATGTTGATTTAGTAATCATGTCTGGGCCTGGGAAAAATAAAATCTATTTTTCTTTTTTTCCCTTTCCAGAGATGCTTAACCTCACCACGCGGCTTTGCTGGGAATTGGTGTCAAAGCAGGGCTATGTTGCAATATGGAAAAAGCCGGTTAACAACAGCTGCTATCTGAATCGGGACGAAGGAACCAAACCTCCATTATGTGATCCAAGTGATGACCCAGACAAAGTTTGGTATGTCCGTGATTCCTCTCTTAACAATGTTTGAAAATTTTCTAATGTAAGATAGGTTGTTCATCAAACTCAGATATTAATTAAATGCATACCAACTGTTTTCCCTCCTACCACCTTCCTTTGCATTAAAGCCATACATACTTTTAATTGGAGATAAATTTGGAATAAACCTGTAAGGAACTCTATGAAAATGTTGGACTCCCTTTTATATTTTGTTTTTAGTTCTGAATGTAAGACCATTTCTTTGATAGTTTCATAGTTTAAGTTTAGTTCTACGGATAATTGTATTGTTTTATTTCAAAAGAGCTTTCATGTGCATTTAGAGGACTTGCCTCTTGTTCTATAAGGTTACATTATTTATTGTATGATGAGTCAGGTATGTTGATCTGAAGGCATGCATCACAAGACTTCCTGAAAATGGCTATGGAGCAAATGTCACAGCATGGCCGGACCGTTTGCAAACTCCACCTGATAGGCTTCAGAGCATACAAATTGATGCCTTTATATCCAGAAAGGAGCTATTTAAAGCAGAATCCAGATATTTCCATGAGTTAGTTGGAGGTTATGTTAGTGGTTTACAATGGAAGAAGTTTAGATTAAGAAACGTAATGGACATGAGAGCTGGCTTTGGAGGGTAATGTATTTATCTTGTGCTCGACTGGTCTTCCTTTTCTATTTTTTTTGCTAAATTTTTCTCATTGCTTCTGGTCTCTTAATTGGTTGACAGATTTGCAGCTGCACTAATTGAACATGATTTAAATTGCTGGGTTATGAATGTGGTTCCTGTTAGCGGCCCCAACACATTACCTGTTATATATGACCGTGGACTCATTGGAGTAATGCATGACTGGTACATTACCAACTGTTTTTCTTTATTTGCTGCTTATAATAAGTTCAGTTGGTTTAAAAGTTACTCATTGGCATTATATGTATCAGGTGTGAACCATTTGATACATACCCACGGACATACGATTTATTGTATGCAGGCGGCCTTTTCTCTATTGAGAAAAAAAGGTGATCTCTCCCCTTCTCTTCTTTCTCTTACCCTCCAATCTGAAAATTTCATTATTTAATGAGTTTTTATGTATTTCCCATCACTATCTTGTCCTTGTGTGCTTTAGATGGTACCGCACAAGAATATTTGCTTAATTAGGCGAGTTACATTTTACTGAGAACTAATATTCAAAAAATTAGTAGTTATGATTAATTTGAAACAGAGCTACTCTAGAACAGTGTTGGATTTAACTTCTGATAAGTTGTTAATATAAAGGTTGGGAAAATGGAAAGGCTCTCTCTTGTTCGGTAATGGTTAATCATGACCGGAAAAGAAATGAAATGCAGAATTACATTTGGTTTGTCGGGATCATCCTGCATACATTCTTTCTTTTTGTTCCATTGGCTTGGGGTTGAGTTTTAACACCATGATGATGCTTGATTGTTTGATTTGAAGTTTTCATTCCATTAATTTGATGTTTGTTCTTGGGGTGGGAGTGAGATGCATTGGGGGTAAAGTGGCAGTTTTACACCTTTTTTGTTTCTTTCTGTAAGGCCTGATTTGATTCATACCATTATAACAGATGCAATATCTCCACAATCATGCTTGAGATGGACCGGATGCTAAGACCTGGTGGTCGTGCATACATCCGTGACTCTATTTCTGTCATGTATGAACTTCAAGCAATCGGAAATGCCATGGGTTGGGGCGTCAATTTACGAGACACATCTGAGGGGCCTCATGCAAGTTATAGACTCTTTATTGGCGATAAACGCCTATTGCATAGTTGAAGCATTGGGAAATGATACCAGACTGTATCCTACTAATTTTCTGGAGGGGAAAACGAGCAAACCAGATTGTCTAAAACCATCATTTGACGATGCCATGGATCGGACAGACTCGGTGCAAATGTAATGAGAGAGATTGATAGAATTCTTTTCATTGTGTTGTAGATTGCAGTAGCAGAGATTGGGTAGGGCACCTTCAGATCAGTGTCGAACCTCCGTCCGGGGCGGATAATAAGGATTGGAGTTGGTACATGACACACACATTCGTCATAGTCGTGAGTTTGGATTATGATTTATGTATTCAAGAATTTCAATTTTTTGATGCATGTTGTAAATGTTGGTCGTATCAATATACAAGAATTTCAATTTTTAGATTATGATTTTCTCATGATTTTTAAAATTCATTTCTAATGGTCATCTTTACAGAGAAAAGAAACTCATTCAGTAAAGCTCTTCAGACAGTAAAAGGGTGACAGGAAAGAAAAAAGAGGGGTCCGTCGAGAAGTGATTTTCACACGCTCTTTTGTTTATGTCAGACGAAAATCTATAGACATATAAATATGGGTGTGCAGAAAGACTGAAATAGGTGCGGAAAAGTCATTTCTTGGGTCCAAATTAGACATCTTTGAAAATGGTAGGTAGAGAAATTGGGTAGAAGCAACCCGTTTGCTTCTTTAAGTCATAATCTACACCAACCATCAATATTGTCTTATACACACATATCATGCACATTCCATTTGTGCAGGAGAGTGACTGATGAACCCTAAACCAATCCGAGGGAATCTACGGACCAGCGTAATCTTTCAGTCGATAAAACAAAAGAACAAAGACTCAATCACTTGTTTCTCACTTGAATTCTAGGTTGCATCGAACCAGCTGTGACGATCCAACTTGCATACTAGAAATGTTTCTTACTTATCAATCAAAAGCCAGGCAATGCATGCTTGAATGGAAAAACTCACATCACACATTCAGCATGTATCAGATCTTGGTCTCCACATTTGCTGCGGTCGGTCTTGGTGTGTTTGCGGAGGAGGTTTTATGGTGGTTGACCTGTTGCGATACTGTTTTGGCCCCGTGGTTGACCTATTGTCATACCGTTTTGGCTCCGCCGTCTGCAATTGAGGTTGCACTTGTGAGGGTGAGTGCACTAGCTTGTGCACCTGAGGAGGTTGCACTTGTGAGGGTGAGTGCACTAGCTTGTGCACCTGAGGAGGTTGCCCTTGTGAGGGTGAGTACACTAGCTTGTGCGCCTGAGGAGGTTGCACTTGTGAGCGTGAGTGCACTAGCATGGGCACCAGAAGAGGTTGCACTTGTGAAGGTGAGGGCACCAGTTGGTTCACCTGAGGATGAGTTAGTTTTCGAGCACCATTATTGCTGGTTGGTGTTCGCCCACGTGAGCTCTCAGCCCTGAACCGTTGTGGATGAGTTGGTTGGCGGTGCTCAGGATTGTATACCGGATTCCTAAGAGGTGGTCCAACAATAAGACGTGAAGTTTGCGGTCGGACTAGGGTGGCAAGAAGAGACCTCTGATCAGGCATGTTAGAAAATGAACTGTGATCGGTTGAGATAAGTCTGTGGTGGCTCATCGCAAATGCTCCCGATATCCTTGTCAGTTCACCGGTCCTAACAGCCCTGGCACTGTTTTCTGGCTGCTCAAAAGGATCTTCAATCTGTCCATGCACCAATTCCAGTAGCAAAATCAGCAGTGGTTACAGCAATAAATATCATTAACAAAAAGGCCATAATCAAAAGTCCTAAAAAAGATAAAGAGAAAGAGGGATGGACTTACAAATAGGGAATAAGAAGTTTTCGGCAACCATCTCGTATTGCTTTCTATGGCGTGCCATTGTCCGGTATAAGTGCAAATTCCAAACTCTGAAGCCCTCGTACTAATGTCAGAAAACTGCAAATTTATGAAATAACCATCATCAAATTGAAAAATGTCTAACCAAACGTTCCAGAGGAAAGGGAGGAGTGGAATTCTTGAGCATACCAATCTCTATTAAAAACACGACAAACTACGATTCAAGTTATTTGTGAATGTAGAAAATACCTTCCCAAGGAATGAGACAAAAAGCTCAGACAAAGAACTTCTGTTTTTTGGTCTCATGCTGTATGCTCTTTTTATCCTTTCTATATTTGCAACACATGTTTCTGCGATGTGTCTCTCTGTATCAACCCTCAAGCCTGCATATAGCATAAGTAATAAGATAGTTGTCCTAATCAGATCAACAAATTCTCTGTCCGACGCATGTTAGGTACCATTATGTATACTCAAACAAATTCTTATTAAAATACTACAAAACACTTAATCAACGTGGTTAAAAGACCCTCAATAATATGTCTCGAACAATATTGTAAAAAATGTATGAACTAACAGTATACACTAGAGATCAGTAGAGAAAAGTAGACAAGAGTTAACTCGACAATCTCACCGCAGTGGATTATCTAAAGCATATGCAAACTTACTAATAAAAGAACATACGCTGGCTCTACTTCTTACCCAAATCGTCCCTACTCTGAGTAGAAGGACTATGACGGTGCAACTTAAGAAACAGAGCAATTAAAAGATTGAAATTATAATTTGGTTTGTCTACAACTAAGAACTTCTTTTGGTTGTTTTGGTTTGCTGCATAGGAGAGCAATCTGAAACTACAATAATTCAACTAACAAACCAGTACTTCTTCAACGACAACATCAAAGGGAGAAGACTACTCTCATATTGTACAAACAACTGTCTAACAGAACAACTTCTATTCAAATTTCACCAACAACGAGCAGCCAATTAATATAGAAAATGGGGTCACCGGTTGAGAGATGAAAAGTACCTCTAAGATCATCAATGATATTTCCAGGATATATATCTTTAAGAGGTGGCAAAATTGCAGGTGAACATGTCTGAAAAAGAAAATTTACAAATGAGAAATATAATAAGCTAAAATTAGGAGCATATATTACACACAAGACACAACTTAATCATATATATTGATAACAGATGATGGAAGTAACAAGAGACTGAACCATCTCAAAGATTACAGAATTTGCTGCTGATCTACTTCCAGCAATTTAGGTTGATATCAACCATCATAGATATACTAAAGTGCAGTGAAAACAGTCTAAATAATCCCTCACAATTTAAATTACTTTCAGGTCAACACCAGAAGGCAGAGATGAGGATTTAAGATTACCTGAAAATGGAATAGCACAAGCAACGTGAGAGAGTATGAATTGAAAGTCCCGGCTCTTGGATTATTTATTTTGTGTGCTTTTGCCCATTCCTTTACCTACAAAAGCTAGAAGATTATGTCAGATACATACACTTCTCCTTTAGAAAGCGAACTCTAATCTGTAGTATCACTATACCAGTAAAACCGTGTCGCGGAAGCGTGGATCTATCTCACTGATCCAGAGCAAGAGTTTGGACTTCACTTGACATTTCAGATTATCGATAGAAATATCACAAGAGACGTTTTGGATATTACTTTCAACCTTTAAAATGGGAACTCTTGCATTGGGTATCAATTGGTACCTCCTCCATCCACCTGAATATGAATATTCGTTCGAAATTAAAATGGAGAGGCTGTAATTAAACAAACAAAACTCCCCAAATACAGATATACGGACATATACACACACTCCTTGTTTCTTTTTCATACTCAGGAAACCCATACATAAATGACAGTCCAAGACCAACCCCTATGCATAATTTGTTGCCATTACCAGGAAATATTTATCAAATGTGCCAACATATTCTTTTAATTAACGCATTAAGTTTCCCAGAGATGATTAGGATATATGCTTAAGTAAGGAGGCCTGAAAATAAAAATATAAACAATTAATAAAGATAAAACAATGATCCTACCTTTCTGTCTCAAAGCATTCATAACATCTCCTAGTAAACGCTGTTTCTGCTTTTTTCCATTAGATGAAACAAATGAACCATTGGTAAACTCAATTGAAACATCCAGGTCCCCCCATATTGTGAAAAGATTAGACACAAATGACCCAAATGGCTCCACAGTTGCACCTGTTAATATGCCAATTATGTCAAAACCAAAATTGTGTTATCTTTTCCTCATTACAAACTGCAGCTCGTTAAAAAAAAAGGTAGGCTGAATGAGCATTTATAATGAATCAACGACTAACAGTAGAATGTACAACCATGAAACTGTTACACAAATCACCTCTTAAACTTTCCATGGATTCAATGGCTTCTCGTAACTCATGAATGATTTGCAACCGTGTTGTCCAATCCTTGGGCGAGGGTTGGACAACTTGTAGTATTTCCCTGAGGGTGTTATCCAACGCACTTTGGGCACTCATTATTCACTACTGTTTCACATAAGACAATGTCAAATCTCTAGAGCAAAATGGCTTCCAGCACTAATAACATAAGCAGAGTACAAGGTCCGAATACTAAGTTCCCGGCAAGATTCAACCAATCAAACAAATCGTAAATACCCTTCTGGAAACCAACATAATCTGAATTTTGAGAATTGTTTGCTAATTTCTCTCTACATTTGCTAAACCTACACAGCCCTGAGTATCCAAGCAATCTACTAAAAGTACATACAATACAAATCACTAAATAATAAATAAGCATAAACCCAATTGGAAAATAAGCAATAAACCCCCAAAAATCAATAATTTAAAAGTTAAACAGTTGGCAAGGGGATCGTAACCCAGTTGGTTAAGAGCATTCAACCCAGCATCCGAGGTCCGAATTCAATTCTCCTCCTCCCAGTATCAACAAAAAAAAAAAAAGGAGGAAACAATTGAAAACACTTCTACCAGACGCACAAACATCCAAAGATCAAAACTTTCACTGATGGGAAACATCAAAGACTGAATTGACCTTAAATACCGATTACCCAGCAGTCAAAATCAACAGAAGCAATTGACTGCAATGTTATCTAGGGTTTCGAAGACTCCTGATCTCTGATCGCCTACATTGCCTTCCGTTCTTCCAGAAAGCACAAAACTTTGTACAAACAAAACATAATACACACATATATACAGACAGAGCGATTAACAGTAGAAGTGTACTGCTTTGCTTAGCGACAAGGGTTTTGTTGACCTTTTTGTGATGCCGCTTTTCTGATTGGATGGCGGGAAAGAAAAGGGGTCAATGCAGGGTCATGGGTTTTGGGTTTGAACCCGGTGAGTGTAATGGCGGGTTCTTCCTCTGATTAATGGAGACGGTTTTGGGAGTGGTGGGAAAACGAGAAAGTAGGTTTAGTAGACCGTGAAAAAATATGAGATGTCTAGTCAAAACCAAAGCTCCCGGAAATTGACAAGGATTTTCCCTTCGATTTTTATTTGAGTGCATTTTTGCTCATTACGTTGGAGGGATTTTACATATTATCGTTAAATGAACTTAAATTTGAGATTGTATTTATCTACTAAATGGATTTTAAATATAAATTCATAAATAAAGTAATAAATATCATCATCATTTAAAAATTATGAGCAAAAATATCCTCATTTATTTATTTGTTTGTCTATGTGGGGACATGATAAATCAATTTTTGGTCAAACTCAAACAAGAGTCGCATGAATTAATTTTGGATTTCAGAATTCCTAATTAAATTGGTTTACCATGAATTTATGGGTGCATGATGGATTAGAATTTCATTCCGTCATTATTTTTTTATTTTTATCACAAGTGCATTTTTGCTCATCCTATTTATCACCGTTAGATGAATTTGAATTTTGAGATTTGTGCTTATACACTACACGAATCTCAAAATTCAAAATCATCCAATGCTGATAAATAGGGTAGTGAGCATACACCACACTAAATAGTGGTGAGCAAAAATGCTCCCATCCTAATATATTTGAAAACATTTGGATGAATATTGAAAATGCCTATCAAGATTTAAAAACTTTAAAATTTCTGATCCAAAATTTTCTAAAATGTTTCAAACTTTTTTTTTTTTTGTCAAGAAATATTTCAAACTTATTCTCATCATAAAACTTTGAAATATTTCAATTATTTTATAGTTATTTACTACAAATTAATTTTTGTATTGTTGTCCCGTTGAATTTTAATTTTCGGATATATTTAAAAAAAGCTTTAATGAACATGATTTCTATAGACTTTACCTAACACCTAGCCCTCAAATTTTTTTTTCCAGCTCTTGCCCCTAGTGCACGTTATAAGGCAATCCTAAGCCAACAAGACTTCTCGTTTTGCGAGGGTCGAGGAGAAATGTCAATCGTACACTACCTTATCCTTGTTTTGTAAATAAACTATTTTCATGACTCGAACTCGTGACCTTTCAATCACAAAAGAACAACATTTATGTTATATTAATGCTTGCCCTCTTGCCTCTAACAGACGTTAGCCAAGTTTTTTCTTCATACCTTTTTCTTCCACAAAATGAGCATCTAGTTCTTCATAAGTCATTTGCAAACTGAATTACTCCGTCTTAGAGATTATTCAACTAGGAGTCAGTTGCTACCTCAACTCCACCACTACAGGTTGTCGCAGCTCCCAAAAACGGGGTTTCATTGCCCACTGCAGTATGCATCTGATCCCACCTCAATTGATTATGTTTCAGAGTCGCGCTTGAATCCACCTACGATTACTATCAAATTATTTCCTCTATGTTTTTAGCAGTATTTTAGACTAAATGATGCATGGTTGTATTATTTAATGCAAAGATTTTTCTTTTTTTTCTTTTGGACTGTTAATTTTTTTTTAACAAACGATATTATCTACACTAAGGGGGAGGGGATAGGCTAAGTCTCACAATGGGCTAGCAATAATGTGATTCAAATTCGCCTTGGATGAGAATCGAATCTAAGACCTCTCACTTATAAGTGAAGAGGAATACCATTAGACGCAGTACTAAGTGGCTTTTTTAGAATGTTATTTGACTTAATACTATTATCTAGTTTGTTCTAATGATGCATGATTATATTATTTAACTCATATGACATAACACAAACTCATAAAAATTGTCTAAACTAATGTTAAAATTACTATTTTCAAATTAAAACAAGTACCATTTATAGTACACAAAAGTAATACGTTTTCTTCTTTTTCATTTTTTTGGATTGTTAGTTGACTTAATATTATCATCTAGTTTTTTCTACGCGATGCATAGTTGTACTATTTAACTCAGTAACATGACACAAATTTAAGAAGTTTGTCCAAACGAAAGTTAAAATTACTGGTTTCAAATTAAATTAAGCACAGTTTCTAAAATCTAAAAATAAAAGTTTTTGCTTTTTATATTGTGATTCCTTAATATTATTATTTAGTTTGTTTGTGGTTGAAGGGGTATATACTATATAGTCTATGTACAAGGAGAGATGCCGTTTCTCATTAAACCATTTAACGTTTGGTTTTTGCTGAGAAGATGGGTAGGGAAAAAGCAAGACATAGAGATTAGGCATTCTCCAATCCTATTGGTTCTTTGAAATAGTGGTTACAGGCCTTACTTTTTCACTTTTTAATTTCTCTGCTCCCTTATTATTAGGTTTTTTCTTAACTAACAGTACCTATATTACGAGAGTAAGGAAGTTGGCCAAATTTCACAATAGTTAGCAATAATGATTTAAACTTACATTTGACGATAATTGAATCTAAAATCTCTCACTTACAAATGAAGATAAATACTACTAAACCATAATATTCAGTGGCATATTTAATTATACACTTATATATTAAAAATGGCAAACACCGTAGTATACTACAAAATTAAATAAATTTTTACCCAAGTATATAGAAAATATTAAGCAAGAGTAATAAATTATGTGGACGAAAATTATCGAGACTACATAGATAAATTGCACAAGGCACGTTGCTTATTTTAGATAAAAGACTTAGTTCGAGTGAGATTAAAAATTAACAATTTTTTACAATTGATGTGAAAAATTGCTTGAAAAATCAAAAACTCATATGAAAAATTAAAAAAACGTAAAGTTCATATTACATTTCAAAAATTTATGCTAAAAAAAGGGGTAATTTATTTCCACCGATGATATTGATAGCTGAGGAGGACCACGTGCTTATTAAGAGTTGCAGGCCCAATGGGTCAATTTCGGTCTAGCCCTATTTGGCATAATCAGGCTCGCCTCATATTAAACCGGACCTGATTTCTTCCTTTTGAGTCGAAAGCTGGATTTTTATTTTCCCATTTTTGAATTTTGTTACTTTCTTTATGTGAATTTTTTCTTTTCCCGTTAAGACCCTGTAAGATATCGTTTTCCAGATCTAGATATTAGCATGTCACGTTTTTGCATGACCATTAATTCGACACGAAACTAAACGACGTGTTAACAAATCGATCGTTATCAAGTCACTTGATAAAAATCCGTTACCTAACGAGTTTACACACGACACGACCTGTTAAAATAACGAGTATAACAAGAAAATGAGAAACATGACCCGTTTGTTGGGCTTACTTGAAAGTGCTACAATAATAGCAACCCAATTTCGATTTCACCCAATTCTAAAAAGGCCAACGCTCAAGGTGCTAGTGTGGATTAGTTGAGCGTCATCATTTTATACGCAATATGGGCCGAAATGAGTTGGCCAGAGCTCAATGGGCCGCATTCCCATCGAGCCCGTTGTTTATGTGGTTATTGGCTCTATTCATTTGTCAACATCTTATTCCAAATATATTTTCCTGCTAAAATTCCATTTCCAATTAAAATGGAGATCAGAAAGCTTCCACTTGAAAGCATGCAGTTGTCTGACTTGTGTTTCTAATAAAATGGAACATTATGCTTTGTCTAATAATTTCGGAATCAAACCTAAATTCTTTTTGTCTCAAATTCTAAATCGTCATAGATAAACCAGAGAATATGCTTAATTATACCTTTGCAAAATACAACACATCTTCTCGATTTAACAAAAAGAATCGAACTCTTGATCTAATCTAATCCGAATACTTTTTGGCCCAAAAAAAATACATTATTTTGGGTTCCTTTACTTTTTGGTGACTAAAAAGTTTAAGGAAAATTGATCACTCTCATAACCAGCGTCAGCCTCCAACGCATATCCACGACTTCGAACCAAAATGACTTATAGGAAATATTGCATGTGACATTTGAGTCAAGACCCCTCTGCACTGCGCTGATGGCTACAAATGTGCATCCCCCTTTGCAATTTTGCATAACAAAACAATCCCCACGATCCGCATTGAAATATTCTACAGAAAATATTAATAATTAATAATAATAAAAGTAATCATATAATAATCCGTCCATGGTTTCGCAATACCAGGTTGAATGGAAGTTTTCAAGTCTATGAATCATCGATCTTCTGACTTTGCATCCCAAGCAGTGATGTGGTCTTCTACCGTAATCAGACTATTGGTTTAATTTAATATGGTTTGAGTCAAAATCCCTAATGCGTTTTTATCATTTGATTGGTGCTGCTCCTCATAGTATAATATGCAGTGGAGGATTATCTACCCTCGTATTCACATCCCATTTCATTCTTTCTTCTCACACATTATTTTTTGTTTTATTATCTTTATAAAAAAATCAATATAAGATGTTGACATGGCTTAACCGTGATCGTTCAAATAGAAAGGTATGGAAGGGTAAAGAGATTAAGAGGGTAGAGAATCCTCCTCCATAATATGCAATGATATGTTTGGCAAACTGTTCTAAAATTCCCGCTAAGAATCTAGATGGTTGATTACCATCCTAATTAATTTTTAACCATTTGAAACCGTCCTCTTTAATCTCTAGGTGTTTGAAAATTAAGATAAGACACCTAGACTTGCTTAATCACCCACCTAGTCCGTCGAGACGCTCGCCTAGTACACCTAGAACCACATAAGTACCCACTTAGGTCGCAACTCACTTAGAAATAAAATAGACAACTTTCATGTTGCATTTTATTTATTTTTTAATAAATTGTAAGAGACTTGACACCTAGAACCACATAAGCACCCACTTAGGTCATGACTCACTTAGAAATAAAATAGACAACATTCATGTTGCATTTAATTTTTTTTAATAAATTGTAAGAGACTTGTTGAATACATGGATGAACACTCATTGTATTATGGTTCTTCATGTTGTCAATATTTTCTAATCTGTTTATCATTCGATTTTTCAATCTATGTATCCCAATACAATTATGTATTTTTTTTAATATAAACAAGTACTTATTTATACGATATATAATAGTTTAATTAAATTCGTCTAGTTCACCTAGGCCATGCCTATCCGCTTAAGCACTAGGCCCCAGTCCACAGTCCGATTAGTGTCTACTGTCTTTTAGAACTTTGGGGCAAACTAATAAGGGTTTGTTTGGATGTACTTTTTAAATAACTGAAAGCGCTTTTAGAGAAAATGTTTTTGGATTCCAAAAACACTTGAAGTGTTTTTTGCAAGAAGCACTAATTATGTACTTCTTTCATGAAGCATTTAAAATGTTTAGAGGATTTACTTTTATTTTTACTAAGGATTAGTTCTAAAAACATTTTCACCAAAAGCGTTTTCAGTTATTTTAAAAGCACAGCCAAATAAGCTCTAAGATGTTTGTCACAGTGATTCGAGAAAAACATGATTAATCAAAAAGCATAAAAGTTTGTGTGTGTTTGTAAACGGCAACTTATATATAACGAGTTTTTCGTCATTTGATGTTCTATTTTAGTAATGTAACTACAAAAACTTGTACATGACAATGCATTACTAGATTGAAACCCCACGTGATGGTAAATATGTTAAAGATAGAAACCAAAGAATGAACTCACCCAACGAATTTTCACCCCTCCCTTCAAAAGAATGCAATTACGTCAGAGACTGAGAAGGAGACCAAAACTAAATCCAAGCCCTTAGAAAATTGGATCAAACAATTGCTGGGAAGCAAGAAGGAACATAGTTTCATAAAAATTGAGTAGTATTTAAATTTTCATTAGACCAACCAATTGAAAGTGGAATTTTATAATTTTGCTGTTGGCAACACCGACCAATTAGAATCATATTATCAGAATTTAGAATCACAAATGATACGAATCTAGAACATTGGTCACCTATGACCTATCAAATATTAGTGATCAAATATATATACGAGCATCGCATAGCTTTTATTTTATTAGTTTGACGTTTTCGGTCACATGATCAGTTATTCAATAATTATGATGCATAAAACTTGAATTTACGATTACTTTCTACAAAAAAATAGAGATAGAATGTTTGTTAGTTGCATCAATTCCTTCGACCATTAGACTTTATCTGTGACCCATTCCAAGTGACTCAAACCGTTAGATTAAAATTTGACGATCATATATGTATCGACATAGAATGCATGCATTTGAAACTCAAGAAATATCATACCCATAATTACTTATTATGATACGAGGAGAATGTGTTAACGGTCGGCAAGAAAGATATTCACGTGCGTGTTTTCAAACACAAAACTGTCACGCAATCAATACGATACAAACATATATTTCCAATTGCGTGCAAATTTCTCCCAACGTATATCAAAACGGACCACGATTTAACGTTTTTATTTTCTTCCGATTTCTCTTAATTAAGAAAGGATGCACTAACAATTCACACCCCTTTCACTTTCTTCCCCTTTTTCTTGTTCCTTAATTTTCAGGTAACATTTGGGTCCGTGGCCGTCGCCATCAAAATCTAAATAAATCTAGGCCAGCTACGAGATGTTGACGCCACGAGGCCAGCAACACATGCCAAACGCTACGTGTCGGAGTCCCATTGAGCAGGACAATGTGAGTGTTTTTGTGCGAGAGTCCTTTCACTTGTTGTCGAGGAATAAAAATCGGGTGGTGGAGCCCCCAAGATCTGCGCACTCGGCCACCTCAAAGGCTGAAAGGGAGGCCTACGTTTATACAGCCGCGGCCACCCAGATGGCGGAAAGGGAGCTCACCGTTATCCGTACACGGCGGCGGAGAGAGAGAGAATCGTAGATGGGGTCCCGAAACAACTCATTAGTCTTATCGTCATTGCAGCGGACTCAAATGTTCCTTCCATCAATTTTACCAGCACATCCGAATGAAAGACCAATCTCGTTCGAGATTTAACACCTCGGAAACAATTACAGAATTTCGTTAGCTTAACGGATTGCGTTTTTTTCAATTTGTTAAGAAAACGATACATGTAAAAGACTTGTATGCCAGGTCCACGCGGAGTAACAACACATGGCTTCCCTGCTTGTATACAACATACAACATACTTGTTCTTCAATTATAGTAAGAAAACAAAAATGCAATGTCAATAATTGGGAAAATTGAGAAAATGTTAAGATCTTTCCGACGCAAGGAGGGGCCAAATGTTCGATGTCAAGCGCAACACTTCCTTCCTATGTTACGAGGGAGATATTTTTTAACGAGTGGCCTACTATATCAATCGTTATAATATAATTAGATAATTTTTTTAAAAAAAAAAAAATTCCAATCTAGTATCGTAATGCAATTAATTAATTTTTTTTTAAAGTATATAAATACCAAATCATGATCCTCAATACACTGAAAAATATCGTCACAATGAATAATCTCGACGTTTAACATCGAACATCTGAATCTCAATTAACAAGCCTTGGTTTCCTTGTTTAATGAAACCATTCATACCCAAGTTGAATAAAAACACATTTAAGCAAACTCATTGCATTTGAGCATTTGAGAAACAACAAAACATTAAAAGTTCAAAGAAGAAAATATTATACACTTACATTCTCTATTTAGTTCGCATAATAACACACTTCCGCAACCTTCTGCGGTCATGTGAATATTGCAAAACCTTCTAAATAAAATAATATAAAAAAAAAACCCCAAACCATACCTACAAAGAAAATTTAAATTTTCTTTTCCTTAAACTAGTTAATTAAAAGAAAATTAAGAGCAGCCCTACAAACGAAAGCTAGTCTTGTAATTTCCCACTCATACGGTGGCTACATTAGTAATTATATCGTCAGACCGAAATGAAACCACCTCGTATTTAGGATTTAGGACCTCCCCGGTCTTCTCAAATCCACGACAACGACGCTGATATTGTCGCTGCTGTGCCTCGCCAAGGCCAATTTCGTCAACAAAATGGATGCGTCCGAGCACGCCTTGTCTGACCTCCTCGCCGCGTCACAGCAGGACGACGCCGACCGTGAAGCCGCCGCCTTTTGCGCGAGCAAGCACATGCGGGCGACGCGGCAGGCGGTTTCGTTCGATACCACGTCCCAGAGGCCGTCGCTGGCAAGGATAAGACACTCGTCCTCCGCCGTACGATCCGTGACCGTCACCTCCGGCTCCGATGTCACGTACGGCTTCAGGTAGTTGTCACCGATGGCCCTCGACATGGCGAGAACTCCGAGGACCCTCGCGCCATCCCAGTAGATCACGCGCCCGCCCGCTGCTTCGATCCGAACGAGCTCGTCGGGTCGATCTGGCTGCAAAAATACAGTTAAAATAATCGCATGTTAGCTAACGTGTTTCTACGCGCACTCATTGAACGTTTCAAATTACTTCACGCGCCAAAAAAATAAATTCTGTTCATTGAATTTGTATGAGATTTAGATCTCCATAAATTTTAATTTTCTTCCGCGGTTTATGTTTGTTTCTCGGGAAAAAGCGAGAAGCTGAAGGCTCACCTTATGATCGGAGGAAAGAGGAACCGCAGCACCGCTTCGGCAAAGCACAGCGCGGGAATCACCGCAATTGGAGACGACGATCTTCTCCTGGGTGACAACGGCCACGACCGCCGTAGATCCAACGGCATCGCACTGCGGAGTCTGGAGCTCGCACCGGCAGTTCGGCCTCTCCGCCTCGTGATTCCCTTGCTGGACCTCCTCGTTCATCTTCAAGAAGCTTCGCTCCAAGGCGTCCTTCCACTGTACCGATTCTCCTTCGGTTTCGAGCTCTTGCTTTACGATCTCGTGCAATTGATCCTTACACTTCAAGGCCACCTATAGGGAAGAAAATAAATTAAGATAACTCAAGATTATACTCCGAATAATTAAATCCAAAGCGAATCGTTTAAGTAAACAACGAAAATTAATTAGGATAATTGAGTAGGATTGGTGGATTTACATGAGAGCAGCCATGGCCGTCGAAAACGCCGTAGAAGTGAGTTCCGTTAGATTCCGGATTCTCCTTTTGCAAAAAACAAGGGTGAATCGAAACGGCGTCTTCCATATCTCGTCTTCTCCCACACACCGAAGTCATACCGAACCGGGGACTGTCGTGAACCGGCATCTGAACCGCTGCGTTTTCCAAATGGACAGACTTAGACACATCTCCGCGTGTAGTCTTTGCACCAACATGACCTTCCATAAAACGCACCGTTGCGTTAGGCTGCGACTCTTCGAGTCCGTCTTTGGAGACTTCGGCTGCTTTCTGTGGTACAGACGATAATGACCGGTACAGATCGACCTTCTGCCGCTTCCGCCCGTTATCCGCCGTCGGTTGCACGGCCATTTCCGCTATGTACTTAAGCGGCAACATGTCCAATCTCCTTCGCCGCGAACTCCTCGGTCTCGCGTCCATGGTCGTCGTCGTCGTCGACGCCTCGCTTTCTCCAACAACACCGCAGCAAATTCCAGCCATCGCCAATCAAAATCAAGCCGAACAAAACCAAAATCGATCCAGAACAACGCCTCAGAGGATGCTTGGAGTTCTCCAAACGTAAATGGAGAGAGAAGAGTTCAAAGTTGATGGTTTGAGAGAGAATGGATTTCAATAAAATGAATTCGGAGGGGAGCTTTTTCTAAACGAGGGGGAAGGGCGCCACCTCATCAACCCGCAACAATTTCACCTGGGGGCCACCACGCCTAATCACGGGCAGCTTGCCCATCACTATCTCGGGCAGGTTCGGACACTGTCCAGTTGGTATGACGTCGAACTACTGAACACTAGAGAGCCCATCTACCGTCCATCTCATCTCCACCATCCCTCGATTTGGACACGTTCTCTGGCCTTTTCCATATTATACGTGGCCTACTTTTGTGGTGACACGGTAGGTATAAGCGGTGTCCTTTTTTTTTGACACGCATGTGGTCCTTGGACGACCGACCCCTTTTTTTTTTTTTTTTTTTTTTAATTTAAATATTTGTTTCTTACCACCTAGTATTATAATCTGATTGTATTTTTCGTCATTTGTAAGTAAAAAGTTTTAAATTCGATTTTAGCAAAAAAAATTGAACCACATTATTATTAATTCATTGTGAATCTTAGTGTGCTGAAAAAATTTAAATATTGTTTGTTTTAACAAAAATGAAAAAAATAAAAATATATGTTCTTTAGTTGCCATTTAGTACTTGTTTGTTTCAAAAAATAAAAAACATAAAAAAGTATGTTCTTTTTGTACAATAGCATTACAGTCTACTGTTGGAAAAGAGAAAATTATTTATTTTAATGGCTGCTTCTATATACCACCACGTGGCGGCCTTATGAGAATACGACATTCGCGTGTTTGGTTTTCCATCCCACACGCGAGTAACACCAACAGCTAAGCTTTGGTTAAAAGATTTTTCTATTTATTAATTTATAAAAAAAATAATTTATTTATTTATTTATTTTTTTTTTTTTACAAAGGTAAATATATTACCAACAAAAATAAAACAAGCATTACATTAAGGTACAATACCAAATAAGCACAACAAGAAAATTGACTATAAAACACAAAAGAGCCCAAAATCAACTTTACTCGGGACACATAAAACACCAAACAGCGAAATCATAGGGAAGCTACAATCTCTATAACTACTGCCTTCGTTACAAACGATAATTTTATGACAAATCACAAAAAAACACAAACGATAATTGATCGAACTTGTTGTAATCACTTTGCATAAATCATACACTTTATGTTCTGTTTTCTATTTCATGCTCGAAGTTTATTTGTGAAAACCTTTATCAAGATTAACCTTCCCAATAATGGGATGTCTACACAATTTTTGTGAAAAGAGTCTATAAAAAGAATTGAAATGTAGTATTATTCTATGATATATACATTTACCGTCTATGGTGACACCTCATGTTTTGGCATAATATTTTATAATGTTTGACGGAAATTAAAGTTAAATTGTTAGGTGTTAGAGAGTTCATAAAAATTTTCACTTTGAGAGAGGCTTTTTGGAGCATCTCCAAAAGAGATGTCATAACACATCAGCAATAACAATAAAAAAAATAGACAACATTAATGTTTTCCAACCGAAATGCTAATATGTATCATAATGTGGAACGGTAGCAAAGATAATTTGAGTAGCTTCAAATAATTTTTAATTAACTATTAAATGTTTTGTTATTCTAAAGCATTCCTTTTTCATTTCCCTTCGTTATGAATGCAATGCATAAATATTTTTATTTGTTTTACTTCGTTTCCTGTCAAATTTAATTACATGTTTTAGAGTTTGATATTTTATTTGGTTGTATTTTCATGAGTTTAGGTACTGGTTTGGTAAACGCTTAAAAATGCTAAACTTAAAAAAATGTTTGGTAAACACTTAAAAACAGTTTATTTTCACAATATAGCAAAAACAGTTTTTTTTTAAAATACAGCAATACTAAACCAGTCCTACGTATGAAGGACCAAACAGCTTTTTGGGAATTTCATTTACATGCGTTTATAGAGAGAATAAAAAAATGGAAGTGCCCGTATAAGAAAGGTCAGCATAGCATAGCATTCATGGCAAGTGGAACAACCGGTGAACACCTGCCACGTAAAGGGTATGGGTTGTCAAGCAACAAGTCCCCGGTCCCCACATGTGGTGACCTACCAGTGGTATGAAGTGCCACGTCAATGGTCATAAAAGGTAAGTCGCTTTCCCTAACTGACTCAGACTCGACTCAACCTCAACGTCCTCCTCTGACCACGGTTCACTTCACCCATCTTGGTCGCTGCTTCCTCTTAAATCCTTATTTTTTTAATTATTATTATTTTTTTAAGAAACACGATAGTGTTTTTTCAATAATTCAATAAAACGTACAATTCTCTTATATTTTACAATTTTGAGAATTCAATAAATATAAATTTAAATTTGAAGGCTTATATTTTACTTTAATTTTTTATTTTAAATTCTTTTATTCAGCATGTCTCGTTTAAACTATTATTTATCTTTTGATTGTTATAATAAATATTTTTAAAACAAAAATAATCATAAAAATACGGAAAAACATTTATTAATCATTCAAAATAGAATAAAAAGAAATTAACGTTGTTACTTAATACTACATCAATTTAGGAGTACTTCTTTTTACTTGTAACTTGTAAGTGTAAAATTTTATGTTTGATTCTTGTCATAGGCAATTCTGAATCACATTATTTCTTGTCCATTGTAATACTTAGCCTACTGCTCCATGAAAGATAGTTAGGTTGGAATGGTTCGTGCAATATTTTAAGCTAAAATGGTGTTCGAGATAAGTTTAACTATTTGAAATCAATAAAACTGATATTTACTTGGTAAATACTTTTTCACGAAATTACTAAAATGATTGATGTGGACAAACTTAAGGGAAGAGGATCCTCTCTGGATCCACTTTGTGGAGATCCTAGGGATCCTCACATCCTAGCCGTTCATCTGATATCGTGCGGTCAGTTTTCGTCAGATACTATTTGTGTTTAGTTTTAAATATAAAAAATAAATGATTTCTGATCACATGATGTACGATAAATGACTAAGATGTAAGGATCCCTAAAATCCCCACAATTTGAATCTGAATAGAATCCAAATCTAAAATTAAAAATTACTTATATAAAATTTTAAATCTTATACATCAAAGTAAAGAGTCATGCTAATTCAATTTTGACTAAAAAAATATCTTTACTAATATCTCTTTATTCAGCAATCGGACAAAGAGCAAAAAAAATATATATATATATATCCCCCCAGAAAACCCAACATGCATCAAGAAGGCAACACGTATTGGAAATTGGTAATTCCCAACACAGACACGACATTGCAGAAGGTGGAAGGAAGAGAACAGAAGGCATCGAAAAGCTTCGATGGTTTCGGAGACGTGGAGGCTTGCGTTGCAGCTTCAACGTTGTACCGTTGATCTCGGTTGACACGTACAAACCCGCAGATCCAGCCCCCCACGTCACTGCTTCTGGTTTGAAATTCAGATGGGGAACTTGGAAAAGATGCGCTGCTTTCCTGGTAAGGTAGGTTTCCTTTCACCAGAAAATATCTCGCGACGTCGTCATCTTTCTCTACAGTTGTCTGCAAACCGTAAGATATTTTCGTTTTCCATGTGGTGCCATTATTACTACCCTTTATTTTCTCAACATTTTCTCACCAAACAAACAGATCATAGGGGCTAATTTCAATGCTAGAGTGTTCATAGATAGGAAGGTAAACACGAGATGGATAGTTCGCTTTAAGTTAGGTTACGTTCAAGCTAATAGAATTCTCTTTATGAGGATCTTAAAGATTATTTAGTTGTGTTTGTTTGTCGTACATCGTGTAGTCATAAATTATTTAAATTTTTTTTATTTAAAATTAAACACAAACAGTACTTGACAAAAACTGATCATACAATGAACAATGAACGAAATCCTCACAAAAGAGGATTCTCATTCACGTTCACGACGGTAAAGAAGTTTTCATTAATAAAAGCGAGTGTACATGATACATAGATTTAAGCATAATCATCATTAGGAAATTCTAATAATGATTTACGTACAATAATGTCCTTAGAGATTAATTGTATAATCTGTTTTATAGATGAGGAGATTTTCCAGCTTGTGTACATGATGGATGTGGGACCTCTAAGTGCTTTATTAACATTTGTCATGTGTTGATTGGTCTCTTGATAATATGAGACTTTATTCTGGTGTTAACCTATATTATGTGGTGATTGGTTTCTTGATTAGAGGGGAACTCAAGGACTTGAGCAGGGTGGCTCAGAGTGAACGCCGCAATTGTTGCTGAAAGTATGAAGTTGGAGTAGTCGGTGGTTTCGAAATTGATGAGTATCGTACAAACACTAAGGTTCGAAGAAATTATAAGCTACTTTAACTTGTAGATCGAACGCAAGAAAGCGCCAGACAAAGGGTGCAAGAAAAACGTGACACAACTTAGACAACTCAAATTGAAGGACGTTCGCATTTTACTAGAGCATCCGAAGGATTATATAACTCGCTAGATTCGTTTTAAACCAAATGCAAGAAGGGCCATATTTAAATTTTGTCAGCGTTGAAAGAAACAGATGGACAGCTTCGAAAGTGTTAATATCTTGTCATTTTAGAAGGTCTAGGTTTTGCTAATCACAAATATACTAGCAGAGTGTTGTTATTTACACTTCATCGTAATCATTATGCACTCCTCGTTAATAATGAAATTAGAAAAGAAAAAGAAAAAAGGAGTGCATGATGATTATTTTAATGGAACTTTAATGAAAAACTCCCAGTAATGTTTACTTTAATGAAAAACCACATTTTTACACTAAAAAATCAATCATGATACTATTCACTTTACCATTTATTTTGTCCTTATAGATAAAATTCAAAATTTTTAAATCATTTTCATTAATTTTCCTTTATTTTAAAGTGTTTCCTCAAAATTGCACCAATTTTATTCCAATGTTTGTCCATAATTATAAATTGTTTTTCCCAGGGATGTCACCACAACAGTACGAGTGAGCGGTACAAATCCGTTCATCTTAAAAATGTGCAAAACCAAAGGAAGCATGGTAAGAATGTGAGAGACAAGCGGATCAAAATGGCCGCCTAGTAGGGTTGAAACTGTTTACAGTCATTCCTCCATCAACAGAAATAACCTGCCCGGTGATGTACGATGCGGCGGGCAGGCAAAGGAACGCCACCAGAGATGACACCTCCTCCGGCTCTGCAACGCGCTCAAGCGGAGTTCGCGACGTTATCTCTTCCAAAAACTCCTTGTTATCCAGCAACTGAAACCACGAAACTTTGTTAAACCCTAAATTTGAAAACTTAAAACAAAAGGCAACACATGATACATTCCAATTGCACAGCAGATCCAATCTTACATAAGCATAAAATGTACTCAGTCAACCTCAATGCAAGGACTAAAGTTCTCTTTCTTGAGTTACATTCCAGAAAATCGAATCTTGGACATGTTCTAATCCTAACTCATTAGCCCGACCCGTTCTTATCGTGCAATATCTAATATATCACAGTAAGAGATTCGTAATGTTGGATGTGTACTAAACTTGAGAATAAAAACCTTAGCTTGATCCAGTGATGATCATTCGTTTTCACTTGTATGGTGGGACACAAAACTAATTAAGGTTTCAGTACTTGATTCCTGGGAATATGAGGTGCAAAAGGTAAGGGCAAACAAGATGACGATGCTTCAGTATGATGATAAAAGACTACCAGGAATGCAACACAACCATTGAGAGGAGAATCCATGGTGTTAAAAATACTCATTCCTCGCAAAGTAAACGCATACGTATGAAAAGGAAAAGAGTTATTCTCCGTGAGACAAAGAAATTGCGAGTCAGTTTTAAGGATATGCCGTAAAAACTATTCTCAAACAAGTTGAGCATACAGGAAGATTAAAAGATGCTGTCGAAAGAAATACTATAATATCAATCAACATCAATGACTGCTTAAAGGCGTTACATGATTACGAACAAAGGTTTTTGCATTCATACCCTAAAGATTTGTTTACTTCGTAATCGCGTATAATGCAGACTAGTATTTCTGAATTAGTAGTATCCGGGGGACCTGGCGTACCCGTGATTAACTACAAATTCATCAGTCAGACCAAAAAGACTCGATTCATCAGAAGTTTAAAACCTTTGGCACATGCCTGCATAAATCCCTCAGAAACTTGTCCCACTAAATTTAGTACTTATCAAATATCATTTGCTAGAAAAGCATGGTAGGTTTTGAAAGAGAGGGGTGAGTGGGATATGGGTTGAAGCCCCACAGAAGGGTCTACAAAATCATACCTTTATACATCCTGAGATATTGTTCAAAGTCTTATACGTTGAACTGAAACCTCGTACATTCTATCTGATGATCACTTGCCACTATTCTAAGTTGAACATCACGTACATGCACGTCGATATCTCTTGTAACTATATTTTCAGAAACCATTTGGACATTATCCATTATATATGATTACATTTGTAACCATGGAACTCATACAACTCCCTATCCTAATACATAATAACCCGAGAAAATAGAACTAACTTACTCTCAATCAATGTAATTTGCATTATAGGGTGAAAAAATAAGTCTAAGCATTCCCAGTGCATTTCAAGATGAACAGACATGGTATGAAAATGGTAATACTTCTTTAAAGCGCATACACGAAAAGTTGTAATAAATAAATATTGGATTATATGTGTAGCACCTAAATGGCCATAGCAAGGAAAGAGAATTACATGTTCCACAAGTGAGGTTCTAGTGTACCAAGGGCAGACAGCATTGCTCCTGATATTGTCTTTCGCCCACTCACAAGCCAGATTTTTCGTAAGGTGATTGATTGCAGCTGAAAATAGAAAATTGGTGACAAACCAACAAGACTTAGCTTTCTCCTTCGCTCTCAATCGAATATAATCCATAATATGCGGCAAAGAAAGACACCAAAACAGAGCAATGACTCACCTTTACTTGCTCCATAAATGGACCCGGAAGCTATACTGGCCACCCCGGCAACAGAGGATATAAACACAATGCTTCCTCGCCCAGATGCTTTCAAAAGAGGATGTGCCAGTTGGGAAAGATGGTACGTAGATTCTAAGTTGGTAGCCATGAGTAATGAATATTCTTCAGAAGCGTACTCAGTGGTTGGCTTCCTGATGTTAGTCCCAACATTGTTTACCTAAATCCCATAACAAAATTCAAAGAAATTCTACAAAAAGACGCCTATTTAATTCGAGACTGGAATCGAAGTCACAACCACAACCCATTTCTACTCATCCTATGAAACATCAAAAAGTTTTAATTTCTTCTTTGGGGCATTTATACAAACAGCTAGAGAGCAAAACACACAGACACAGGGGTGAAAGGGAAGCTTACAAGTATGTTGAGCTTGCCATTGAAAGTGGAAGCGACTTGATCCATGAGCTTTTCTCTCTCGGTTGTAGAAGAAGTGTCGCAGACTGACCCAGTGACTGAAAAGCCCTTAGCCTTCCATTGCTCTAAGCACTTGGAGAGTTCTGCTTCGTTTCGAGAACAGGTGTGCACCGCCGCGCCGAACCCAGCTAGCTCCTCCACCACGGCGTACCTGAATTCAAATAGGACCGAAAAATAAAATCCCAAACAATTAATTTCAACGAAAAATTCAGTTTTTATTAATGTTCTTTGAGATATTAAGAAACCCATGAGACCAATTGAAGAACTTTGTAAGATAAAGTGTGCGTGAAATAGAGAGAGAGACCCAATTCCACGAGTTCCGCCGGTGACGAGGGCAGCCCCGCCGTGGAGAGACCATCTGGCGTTTGGGTAATTGCTCTCTGCCTTGGCCATTTTCGCGGTTTGCAAGCAAACTTCAGTGAACCGTAAACTGACCGCAAGTTGCCAAAGAGGCCAAGCAGCTCCTCCAATGTACAGAAGAGACGTACCAAACTAACGTTTCTATTGGCCCTTTTTTTCTTTATTTTTTTTTATTTTTTATTTTTATTTTTTTTCAACCGAGGGAGACTAAATTTATCGAAAAAATTTACTGTTAATAAATTTAGCATTTAAATTTAGGGATGGGCTCAGAAAACCAAATACCGAACCGGTTGAAAAGGGAATTAATGCTAATAAAATCAAATCGAATTGAAACTATCGGTTCGGTTTCAATTTTGTTGGTTCAAAAATCAAATTGAACCGAATCGAATTGAATGACATATAAATTAATATTTCATTTATTTATTTATGTTAAGTATTTGTTTTTCAAGCTCAATTTCAAATCAACTATTAGTCTAATTTCAATCCAAAGATAAATTTAACTGTAGGCCCAAATATGTAGAAAGCCTTACCCTAGATTTTATTTTTCTCTTCATTTTCTCTCCAATTTATAAGTTAAAAAGAAAAAATTGAAAAAACAAAAAGAAAAAAGAAACCAAAAAAGTCGAACCAAACAGTAAATTGAGTTTGGTTTTCAGCAAAAAAAAAAAACCCCGAATAAAACCGCACCCACCCCTATTTAAATGTTCTATTTTGTGCCACTTTTTCTTTTTAAGTAGTTATAAACATTTCCCATACACGAAGTGCGGGTGTTCGATTCCCCTATCTTCCAATCTTTGTACTATTCTGGCCAGCCCAGTACACAGTTCAAGTTGGCCCAAACAAAATTTTCCTTCACTAACTGCCGTTGGTTCAGATGCCTTAAGCATACAGAGGCCCTTTTTGCATGCTTGTTAATTTACGTGCAAAAGCTAAAATGCTACAAAGCTTTGTGGTCTAATGGTATCATTTTTTACTTGTAAGTTAGAGGACTTATGTTTGATTCTCGCCAAAGACGAATTTGAATCACGTTATTGTTAGCTCATTGTGAGGGTAAACCCACCACATCCTCCTTAAAGTAGATAATATTGTTTGTTTAAAAATAAATAAATAAATAAAAATTAACCATCCAAACACTAATGCATTCCAATAAAGAGGCTCATTTTACACGCTATTTTTTTTAAATGCAAAAGCGAAAATACTACAATACTTTGGTGTATAAGCTGCACCAATATATTGGACGGATAGGTATCGCATGATTAGGGTTGAACAGTCTCAGTTTAATCATTGTGAGGCTAAATCCACTCTATTCTCCTTAAAGTATATAATATTGTTTGTTAAAAAAATAATAATAATAAAAATAAAATTAACCGTCCAAATACTAATGCATTCCAATAAAGAAGCTCATTTTACACGCTTTTTTTTTTTTTTTTAAATGCAAAAGCGAAAATACTACAATACTTTGGTGCATAAGCTTCACCAATTTATTGGACGGATAAGTATTGCATGATTAGGGTTTGAACAGTCTCGGTTTAATCATTCAAATACGGATACGCATCGCATACTCCCAAAACCAAGTAACCCACCAAAAGCAACAAGCCATTTATGAAGATAACCATCCAATTCGTCAAAAGCTCACTTAAAGCTGAGGAGTACTACAATATCTCCTCATTCCCTTGTAAAAATTTCCTCTTCAGTGAAAGAAACAAACAGAGAGAGAGAGAGAGAGAGAGAGAGACAGTTCATATCCATGTGCTTTTCTGGCTCTACAACTGCACCTTAAATTAACCTCACTCTCAATAGCATTTGCAGACCTCGATAACTGGTAAAAAGTAGAACCAGACCAACGAAACTACTTGAACTGCCAGACCAGACACTGCCCCAAATAATATCGTTACCTTTTCAAACCCTCCTTCCCTCCCTCCATCCTCCATCCTCCCTCCTTACACAGAAACAGGTTCCTCATCCAAACCAAAGGAAAACTCCATATCTA